ACCATCTGCGGCGGCAATTGCTTCCAACGCTCCACCACATACGGCGGCCGCTGGCTCCGAGGTGCCAGCCGCCAAACAAGTTGCGCGGCCACGAGATCCGAAGCCCAGCATCAGAGCTGGACCAACAGCAGGCGCCAGCAGCCACGACTTTACAGTAGGCAGACATGCTGCAGAGCCGGCGCCGGCAGCTCGGACGACCACAGACGACTACAACAAGTAGTAGCCAGACGTGGACGACAACAGGGAGGTGATCCACCTCCACCGCCACCTGCGGGTGACCCTGCTGCCCGTCCAAGACTTCCAGACTGGTCAAGGTTTGACGCACAGATCAGCTTACCTAACTTGCGTAGCCTTGGCCCAAGCGCAGTTACACGCGACCTGCGAAAACTACATATGCGATGGTTCCACGCCGAGGAGCCTAAGATGAGACTCATCTTGACTAAGGCTGGTCTGGATAGTGTTAGGCTAAACCTGATAAGAAGCGTCTGTGACACATGCTGGGAGCGCAGGCCTCGGGAAAAGCCTGGGCATATTAGAACGTCGTCTGCCGCACGACCTGGCAAATTTCAACCATGTGGTCGAATGCGACCTAATGTTTTACAAACAGGAGCATCAGGTATTTCACAGAATCGATCGCTGCATTGGATGCGGCGCTGGAATCGAGATACCAGACAGAACTATGACCAGCATCCTAGATGCGCACCATTAGTGCTGGATGCAATTCGGACCTGCCAAAGTATGATACTAAGACGGAGAGGGTGCTCTTAATAATGGCACCGCAAAGGCAGTCATTAAGGCAAGGGGCACTGAGCTAAGGATACGCACGCGTGGACAACACGCTACTACCATTGAAGCCAGAAATGGCATACTCCTACACCTACTTCGTGTCACGGAGGCTGAACTCAGTAAGTTAGACATACCACCTGTGTTCACCCGACGATTGCATGAGGCTCTGTTTGCCACCAAGACGTTTACCTTCTTCAACGAGGTATCTCCATTCAGCGCACTGTCTGGCCGACAACCAGCAATGTCACCTGACTTGCCTGTTCTAGATCACGAACAACCAACGGAGACATCCGATCATACTCGAGAACAGACCATCCGCCGGCAAGCACTGAGGCTATTACACAAGCCACTGCAATAGCAAAGACGAACTGCGCACTACGGATTATGACGACCATCGCTGGTCAGCAGCATTATTCCAACGAATGAGATCTAGTTGACGACCAGCGCCCCACAACTACGAAAGACGACTGGGGCGGCTGGAACGGACCCTTCCCGGCTGCGAGGAACGATCCTGACAGGGGCCAAGTTATCGTGGGAGCGGGACATCGCGAGGCTCTGATCACTCGAGAGATTGGCTCGGACAACACAGCATTACGGACTGCGTTGACATTCATAGCCAGTCTACCTGCGGGGCGACCTGCCATGAACTCCGGATACCTCCTGACCAAAAAGGGAGCACTCCAGATGACGAGCGCGATCCGATTATTTCCAAAAATACATTTAGCCCCCCAGTACCTCATCAGGAACGTTGTCCGCATCGAAGACGTTGTTTCTGTTAGGTTCGCTAAGAGCACTCGTAAGCTACCTACGGTAACGTATGCTGACAGTTGTACGCTGGTGCACAATGACAACGACGTGAACCCAGGTTTCCATTACTATGAAGCTGAAGGTACTGCCCTAAACATTCAAGACAACATTGGATCTGCACACTTCTTAGAATCACCCAGTGCTTGAAGTCCACCAAACCTCAAGCGCGCTTCGATCAAGACATGACGAAGCTCGATGAGCTGGCAGACATACCAACACAAGGCAGCGATGCCAGGGAGGCCCCAGAAGCCAAACCACAACAGGAAGACGGACGGCGCCCCACAATCCATGAGGAATCGGAGGCGGACGTCGAGGCACACATGATGGAAGTGTGGCGAACGGAACTACAGGACGAAAGAAAGCTGCCGGTGGCAATTCCAGTGGATGATCTCTACACTGTACCCGCACAGATGGTTTATGATAGCAATGCGCTCGTCCGCAGCTGAAGAACAGCAAGGGCACTTGCCTACGTAGGGCAACCCACGAGACATTTACACAACTGAGACATATCACGTCCCACTGTGTTCCACGGGCGAAGGCGACACTTAGGGATTGGACTCCGTCGAGCACAGACAATATGTAGAATTCTGCTTTACGGCAAAAATGTCGAAGAACGTCCTATTCGAACAGCAACATAAGATATTGGACTTCGACCGTGTCACTACGATGCGAGCATATGAGCCCGCTGCAGCCACGCGATCTGCAGTCGTCAAGGAGGACGACCCACTCACGAAGGCAGACATTCAGGCAAACCCAGTCAAGGCATCGAAAGCCCTATATACTGAACTCAAGACATGGCTTGACAATACGTGTTACAAGACATATCCAAGGCGTCAAACATCATGACTTCGAGATACGCATATAAACGGAAGTTCGTCAAGGACGAAATGGGCGAGATGGAACGCGCCATCAGGTTACGCCCGGTGGTTTTGGGTTCCATGGGCCTCGAAGCCTTCGACGTAGAAACGTTCTCAGGAACGGCGCGGTGGTCAAGCCAGCGATTACTCGCCAGCGCGGCAGCGTGCAGGGCGCAGTGGACCCCGCCGACATCAACATGGATTTGTTTGAAGGGACTTACGCGTCAAGAGCTCGCTGAAACGACCCGTAGAGACGAGCCCCAATTTTCTCACCGCCAAACATGTCGATGATATAAACATGGCCGGCACCGAGGACACCATCGACAAGCGCGCCAAGTGCGCCGAGGGAAGTTGTTGGGAAAAAGCACTTATATATATATATATATATATATATATATATATATATATATATAGCAACTGCGCTGTGAGATCTGTTAAGGACAGCGACGGCAATGTTACCCTTGACAAAGATGGGAACAGAAAACAGCTCCGCCCTATCCAGCATCATGAACTCACGGGCGCAGATGCTGAGGCTAAGGCATCGAGGATGGTCACTGATATGTTCGCCAGCCTCAGAGGCGCTCTGGCTTACGCCAGTATCACACAAGCGCGGCGACTTGCATATGTTGCATCACTACAACACGCCCAAGAACCGACCAACATGCAAGTGCGACGACTTAACGCGATTACCGGGAAGCTGCAGGCCTGCCCTGAAAAGATCGCCTATCAAGCGGTGATACCAACGGGCGAGGTCGATCTGCATAGCGACTCCTTCTACCATCGCCTGAACGGCGACGCCGATAACGAAGTCAAAGGCCATAACATTCGCGGGGCAAACCTGCTAGGGCATGGACACACGCATGCTGGCAAGCCCGTCGTCCATCTTGTTGACGCGCACTGTGGGCCCCACCGCTTGCAAGTCCACTCGAGCTACTCAGCTGAAACACGGGCAGCAGCCCACAACTTGGAGGACTGCTATCAACCTGCTTAGGTTGAGCCCGCCGGCTGCCGCCTTTCGCGCGCAAAAGATTTGGTTTGCTGAGTAAGGCCGGTAGCGGACTCACGCTTCGTGTTTTCCCACCCCGACTCTGAAGGAGGAAGGGCAAAGGCGAGATGCATCGGGCGTTTGTCCGCGGCCATTTTGGCCCAGTGACCAGCCACCTATCTGACCGGGCCACACCTCGGCCCGCTACCTTACATCGGGACAGAAAAGGTTCCACCATTTACTCTTGAGATGTATCATCGCTGCTCACGCGGCTCCCTTCTACCTCTGGCACTATCGCTAATACGATACACAACAGGGTTGGACGTAGGCTTCGCCTTAGACGAAGCATCTGGTTGGGCCGCCCAACCGGTTTTGAACTAAAAAACCATGTTCGGGATTCCAACGTCACGGATAAACTTGACTGTTACGTCTCGGCGATCTTGAATCGTGCCAGAACACCGTTGTGGGTATTTCAACACCGTGAACCAACCTTGCAGTTCACCCTCATAATCCTGAATATTTCCAGAACGCCAATTCCGGGACGTTGGTCATCGGAATCCGTGAAACTTCTGTAACGTGAAACTTCTGTAAATTGTTATAACGAATGCGCGCGGCGCTGCGGCGACAGCCACATTTTGAAAACCGGCCGCCTTCAATCCGTGACACTTTTGCAAACTGTGACAACGAATGCGCGCGGCGCTAGAACGAGAGCCGCATTTTGAAAACCGCCCGCCCTCCATATGTGAAACTGCTGCCAACGTTAAAGCTGCAGGGTCATAAGGAGTGAGGAAGTCTCAGGCGAAACGCCCGGCCCGCCCTTTTTGACCGGCCTCGGGGTGCGACAGGGAGGAGTTATTTAGAAGGAAAAGGAGTGGATGAAAAGGAGGAGGAGAGGAGGAGGAGGGGGAGAAGGAGGAGGGTGAGGACGGACCAAGGGAGAAGGAGGATGAGGAGGAGGGCCAGAGAAAACCCAAGATGTATCAGCGATGCTGAAATATACCCTCCTGCCCCATGCCCCCTGTTGATGAGTCCTTACAAGCTTTGATTCATTCCGGTTGCGGTCAAGAGCCCCCCTTGAAAGACGAGCACCCTAAGGGCCCGTAATTCAGGCGGGAGTTCCGTTTTAAAGGAAACTGCAAAGCAATTGAGGAGGAGGAGGAGGAGGAGGAGGAGAAAGATGAGGCGGAGGAGAGAGAGGAAGAGGCCCCCTCGCCGAATATCACCGTACGGGGGCGCGCGCGCACGCGGGCTCTATTCGGTTTTCCTCGCTCTTCGGTTTCCGCCCGCTTTTGATCACGAGAAGCTGGGCAACTCGCCGCCGAACGAAGAAAGGGAGGACAGGGAAGAAGTGGAGGGAAGAGAGAAGGGGAGCAGGGGGGAGGAGGGTGACAGCGAGAGCCAAGAAGGGGAGAGGGAGGAGGAGAAGGCCTCTTCGCCCCCGTCACCGCCGACCTAGCCGCCCTCGCCCCCATCGCCGCCGCCGCCCTAGCCCTCGCCCTCGCCGCCGCCCTCGCCCTCGCCGCCGCCGCCGCCTCAGCCGCCGCCGCCGTCCAAGCCCCGGCAAGGCCTGGTCGCCCTGCAGACCGGCCGAGCGACGTTCCTGTCCCTGCTTCCCAGCGGCTCCCTCGTCGCCGGGGCGGCCGAGGGCGGCGACGGCCAGCTGTTCTCCGAGAAGACCGACGAGGAGCCTGATGGGGGCGGGCGGACGAGTGGGGCGGCGGCGGAGACGATGAAGACAAAGATGTCTGCGACGACAGCGACAACGCCGACGGCAAAACCGACAACGACACTGACGACGACGAGGACGACGACGACGACGACCACGACGAAGACGACGACGAGGGCGAAGGCGAGGGCGAGGGCGAGGGCGAGGGCGAGAGCGAGGAGGGCGGCGACGACAACGGCAGCAACGACGACGACGAAAACGACGACGACGACGACGACGACGACGACGAGGGTCGTGAGAGAAGAAGGGGCTCGTTTTAGTAGGTGCTAGGGTGGGGGGCAAAGTGGTGCAAGGATGTTTATTTGGACGCGGGCTGACGACTGGCCTCAGCTCCCTGCAAAGCCGACGAACGGCAAAGGGCCCGAAGGCCGAAAGGGACGAGGGACGGACCAAGGACCCGAGACAAAGCCGACCGAAAGGACCGACCGACAAAACAAGGACCGAAACCGCGAGGGCCACGGGCAGCAAGCAAGCAACGCAAAAACTGTTGGTACCGTCTCTTGGTACGGATTTAAACCTTGGTCCTCAATGGCAGCCACGCTGCCAGCTCCAGGTGCAAGTACAAGTACCCTCCACTTCACTTTGAACGCCTCCCCTCACCACCATATAACAAAGACAGGCTGCCACAAACACGAGCCAGACGCAACGGGTGTCTGGTTCCGTCGCGGCTCGACGCTCGTGGTTGCGGCGGGGGCTACAAGGGTTCCAAGGGCACAGACCGTACAATGCAGACCTCTCCTGGAGTAGCACGGGAGAGGAGCATAAACAATCAACAAGAGAGAAGAAGCGAAGCGTTGTTCTTCTTTTGTCTCTTGACGAGCTTGGGCGCAGAACAAAATGTAGCACAGACAAATTACCACAAACACGAGCCAGGCGCTGCGGGTGTATGGTTCCGTCGCGGCTCGACGCTCGTGGTTGCGGCGGGGGCCGCAGGGTTCCCAGGGTGTAACAGCAATTCGCCAGACCAGTCAACTACGGCACGGGAGAGATGCATAAGGAAAGCAAGCAAGAGACAGGGCGAAGTGTTGTCTTCTTCTGTCTCTTTGCGAGCCTGGGCGCAGCTGAGCGCGGAGACGAAGACACAGACACATGCTGAGAGGTATATCCAAGAGACCAGCATCGCGCAGGCAGAGCACTGCGCCCTGACTATGCCAGGTCCTGGGGAGAACGACCAGGGAAATACGCTTCCAGAACGTACGGTCCTCCCACCACACCCCCCAGCCATCTCCCATCCACCTCCGATAACCAACCAAAGGGCTTCGTGAAGCCAATCGGGGAAACATAATTCACAAAAGGTGGAAACATCATGCGGATGGGGAAAGGCATAAACAATATTAGTCTGGTCGATGGGCACGACCTCACCGACAACTTCACGAGTCCGAGGGCGGCGTCCATCCCGCATTTGTTTGAGCCTGTCAATGGTGCCCTTGGCGCGGGGACGACCCTTGCATCCATGCTTCAAGTATACCACATGTTTCTGGCTATAGCGACCGCGTCGGTCGCAGAAAATTATATCACAAAGTCTGCGCAAAGCATGGCCACCTCCCGTGGGGTTGGTGCAAGTGGTTCTAAGCAGGTGCTGTTTGGAAACAGAGCTGGACCAGCAATTTGCACAACGACCTACCGATACTGGGGTCCCAGAAATGCCCATGCAGAGCCCCTTCCCGAGCACCCGAGAGGAGCAGGGAGTAGGTAGAGAAGACAGGGGGTCAGTATCAGCTTGCCACACATCCTCGGGCAGCTTGAAGATTCAAGCCACACAGTGCCCGATGTATTGTGCGACATAAGTAGCAAGCACTCTCGCACGACAGACCCTATCCAACATCACCTGATCTTTATTATGGAAGCCTGCGCCTAGTTTAGCCACGCGGTCGGCCTCGTGATTTCTCTCATGCTGTACCCCCGCAAGGGCACGGTTGTGGGAACGTATATTAGTCAAACGAATTAGGTGATATCCCATGTCTGACGCAAAACGGTGGACTTCCCTCCACAGAGAGCCATGAACAGCCCATCCGTGGGCAGTGGCCTCGAAACCTAGCCGGCACTTATCAGTCAAATACTGCACATCAATGACATACTCATATTCAAGACTGGGAGAAGCGTGCGAACAGGAAAAAGTAGAAAGCACACAACTCCGCACCTGGGACGTCCTGGACCATGTATGGGTATGCCCCATAGGCCGAGGCGTTTATCCTAGGTCCAGAAAAGGATCACACGCCCCATCCCGCCAATAATGTGAGCGGTGATGGTCCACAAATACTTGAACCGTCGCCATAGGCAGGCGAGGAGAAGAGGGGGCCTTCACGGGCGACCTCCCACACAGGATCAGGGAGAGGAGGGGGAGGAAGTAGGAACAACGTGGGTCAGGAACCAGGGCTGAGGTCCAGACAGGGTTGTCCCTATATTGTTCCCTACAAGACTTAAGGGCTGGCGAGGCACCAAACCAGCGCCGAAAATCTGACAGACCATCACATTCATAAATGTGTGGAAGATCGGATTTACAGGGATCAGACCACACAGAGGACAATGGCGCTTAAACTATAAATAACCCCTGGCAAGAAGGCACGCAAAGCACTAAGCTGGAGATCGCTCCAACCCGGGGGGGTCCTACTTAGCAAGGCCCTGATGGGGTTTAGGAAAGGGGGTCCAGCAAGATGGTGGTACAGTGGGTGTCTGTCAGACGCCTGCTGCAAAGCCCAAACGCGGGCTGCCCGACTCACTAAAGCAACCATCTCACGAGGGGAAGTAGACGTAATATCTAGACTGGCGCCCAATGCGGCATGCCAGATTGTCGGGGACTCAAAGGACCATCAAATCCTGAGCAAGATAGCCACCAAGATAGCACCAGGGCCCTGGAGAGAAGTCCAATGAGTCTGACAGGCGACTGCGCTGATTGCCACCTGCAAGACCCGATCAATAATACCCCAAGGCAATAGCTAGATACAGTCCAAAGACGACTACTTCGGCGCGAGCGTCTAAAGCTGGGTCCGCCACTCCTAGAAAGGCTAAATCCACGGTTACGGATCGGTGCTTACCTATTCCAAGACCAACGTGATATACGTTTCGGAATTGCTTAATCTGGTCAGTACTTCAACCCACTACACCAATGCCGAAGGTGACCGCAGGACGAATGTTCGCATCGATGATGCTCTGGGCCTGAGCCCCTGCACGCCGCAATCCAACAAGACGGCGAGCCCTCTGCGCTGCCTTCTGCACACCTGACTCCCAGCACAGTACGAGGGCGGCGCCCACGACGAGAGTGAAAGTCGATGCCCAAGCTCCTGCGGGAGAAACGTGCGGCACCCCCAGGCCGGGGAGTCTCGGCTGCGAATCCTCTGGCCAGGGTCGCACCCGACGCAAGGAGCACCCATTTGGGCTCGGAGAGGGGGAGGCGGGCAGGGTATGTCAACTTTCTCACCTATCTGTACGTGTAATTATTATACAATCCAGTCAGAATTGTGACCGCTAGAGTGCAAACAGACAAACAAACAAATCTTTGATTTAGCGAAATGGCAATGTTTCCATCCAAATATTTTAAAATAAACATTGTATCATTAATAATCAATATATGTGTTTTATAATACTCTTCACTTACAACAGGAATCTCCATTATTTTCAAGACTTCGAAGAAGATGCGTGGCATTTGGACCCGCGCGCATCACCTCAGCTTCAGAGCCCACGCCCAAAACCTGAACGTCATCGGCAACCAATCCCAAGTGCAAGGCTGGATGCACACGAAGTGAGGAGTCCAGCTCTGGCACAAGCACGACGCGCGCGAACAAATCTGCAAACGAGTAGCCAGCAACAATAGCGATTGCAGCAGACATCCATGACCCGACGATTCGGCGCACAGTAAGAATACGCGGGGATCGGTACAACCCCAGCAATACTCTCAAGAGGGCGGGGTTGAACTGAAACTGCTGGCAACGTTGGATGAGCCAGCGGTGACGAACCTGCTCAAAGGCCTTCTTAATGTCCGATAAGAGGGCCCAAACGGACAGACCACGTGACGCAGCGTACTCAGCCAAGACACTCATGCGCCACTTGTACACACTGTTGACAAGAGTGGTTGCGCACTCCGCATACAGACGGTCGAGTATAACGCTGCGCCCATGCAATGCCATGCGCGGGTCGAAAGTGTCGAGTGAAGGCGCGCACAAGAGTGGTGAACAACGCGACCGTTCGCTCGCCACCATCTGGCCCGGGTAATAAGTTAATTACAAACTTGGCCAGGACAATCAGAAAACGCCCAAGACGTAGGATAGCCGCCCAAAGTTTGAACAGCGATAACAGGGACTCCCTCCGAAAGCCACACGCGGTGACGAGGATGAGCCCAGTCCATTCCGACAGAGGCACGAGCCCGATATCTGCGAAACGTCTCGCGGTAGCGCCCCAGGGGCGGCATAGGCAAGGACGCAAGGTCATCAGGTAGAACAGCGGGCAAGGAAAGGTCCTCACAGAGGCCGGAGCCCTGCTCCACAAGCGGCATGGGCCCCCAGGTTCCATGCCAGAACTGCTCACGCGCCTTCAAGCGACGAGCAGCGGCGCCACGATGGGGCGCCATCCACGGACGGGTTCTGGATGACGTCGAATGCATTCCGATTCGCAGTGGCCTCGACTAATCGGCGCGCGGCGGAGCCCGCGCATTCTCGAACCGACCGAACAGCCCAAGAGCACCAACTCTGATAACGCTTGGCCGAGGCAGCCCTTTCCAAAGCTGCCGCCATTTCAGAAAAAGAATTCCTCAACCAGAGAAGAGAGCCGAGATCGAGATGGCGAAGACGTCGCGCATAGCTGCGCCACCACCGCCAGTCCGAGGGAGGGAGGCCCTCTCGTTTGGACGGGTAGCAACGCCTAAGGCGCGATGCCGCGGCTGAGAAAGCTCCCCTAGAGTGCTTGTCTGCGAGATACTAGAGACCTCCGATACGATTTGCAAGAAAACGCCATAACTTGCCCTCGAAAGAAGAAACAACACCTCCAGGAAACAGCGATGCAACCGAAACCGGAATCGTGGTCGGATTATCACCCCACTCTTTGTACGCATCAGGGTTGGGGAGGTGATATAAGCCAATCAGCTCAGCCGCAGACGTCTTTAATTATAAAAGTGTCTGCTTCTCAAGCTCAGGAAACGAACCAATATTGTCGGCCGTCTGCGGAGAACAATCCCAGGAGGGGGGGCAAGGTGAGTACCCAATAGGGCCCCTCGATGCGCAGAGCGACAGGCTGGTGCTCAGGGATGAGAGGGGAGCAAAGAACTTCACAAGTAGCTTCATGAAAGACATGGTGGACGACAGAATAATCAATCTTGGAGCATCCACCACCGCTCTCATAAGCGCTGCCACTAGGAGCAATCACAATGCCGCCCACATGCTCTAGAAAACCTGTTGCCTCCAGTTCTTCTGGTGACATATTCTAATCAGCTGATACGAGGCAGGGGGGCCGATGGCACGAACAACAGATGCCACCTGCATGAGCAACTACGCATTCCGATCTGCTGACCCTTCCCCAGTGTGCAAGTAAGGATTCAACCAAAATACACCCATGTCTATCAACCCGTGCCAGAGCTTAATGATGCACCGTTCAGGGTGTGGTACGACCACAGTGGAGTCCAAGGGGGTGTCCGAAAAGCTGATGGAATACTGAGAAACCAGAGCAACTCCAGAGCTCAATCCACCATCAGACGCACGTATGGATGGGTGCATGTGCGCATGTAGTCCTAGACGGCGCGCACGATTTGCAGCAGCATCAAGACCCCCAGCGGAACGACACAATTCCTGCAGACCCATTGCATCAAAGGAGCGAGTGTGGGCAGCCAAATAATTCTCTGCATTTGCCCAGCTCGTGACATCGATTGAAAGCAGGACCCAAGAGTGCCGACCATGACCAACATTTGATTGCCCCTTCCCCTGGTCAAAGCCCAGACGGGCCCGACGAGGCCCCCGCAACGTAAGTAGTGGCATCATCCAAATCATCAACTGTCAGGAGGTATCTCATCACCACCATTGGGGGAAGAATCTGACCATTTCTTGGAAGCGAGAGACGGTTTCTTGCGAGGCGCCCCGGCTGGTTCTCGTGAAGGTACCGGACGGGAGTCGATTTCCATAGCGATTGTTGTTACAATTGCTGGTGTACTTGCTGCCTGCCGCGACGCTGCTGCCGACGCATAACGAGAAGGCGAGCAATGAGGACGAGCGACAGGACGATCCAACGCAGGAATACACTGAACCGCAGCAGACAGCTCAACCATCTGTCCCAAGGCACGAGCAACCTCAGGGATCTGTCTGGAGGATTTTGGGAGGTTCCTGAGGAGGGTCTTACAAACGTCTGACGAGTCGCTGGACTCTGGCTCAACGACAGGCTCTGGAACTGGGAGAGAATCGAGACGGCTCTGGCACAGTTCGCATTCTGTCTGGAAACGCTCCCCCTTGACCTCCCAAGAACCTTTCCTGGCAAGAACGTCTGACAACTCCTGCCCAATATGTTCCAAAGTAACTTCAGCCTTCCCAACCCTCCTAGTAGACCAACGGACTCGCTAGGCCAAACGGGCACGCTGTTGAGGAATGGAGAGAATGGACGTCTTCTTCTCACGGACAACTGCCAGCTCGGACAGGAGACGGACAATCTCTTGCTGATTTCGAACCGAGGCAGGAATACTTCGAAGGCTCTCAAGATAAGACTGGTTAGTCTTAATGAGGGCCCCTTCGTCGGCAACAGTAACCATCGGGTCATCACGCTGGGCGAAACGGCCATCGTTATCAAACAGATCATCCTCGCCTCCAGAATCTTCATTATATACCTCAGACCCAAAACGTGCACGAACAGCACCAGACAAAGGAGCGTCAATGAACTGCTCATAAAACAAAGGCTGCTCGGCGTGCTCAAGAGGGACGGGCAACGACGATGACGAGGATGGGCGGCGCCGAGGACGACGACACGACGACGACGACGACGACGACGACGACGACGACGACGACGACGACGACGACGACGACGGCGACGACGGCGGCGGCGGCGGCGGCGACGACGGCGGCGGCGGCGGCGGCGACGGCGACGGAGACAAGCGGTGACGAGGCGACAAAGGCATACAAAGGCGACGAAGACGAAGTGAATGAGCGCACAGATTCCTCGTCATGACTGAATACGCCTAGGTCACAACGCGCTACAGTGGAAGAGGTCAGAGGGTCGACATTGAGGGAGGCGGAGGAGGAGGAGGAGAATGGAGAAAGGGAAGAGGATCAAGCGGGGAAAAGAGCAACAAGAGGCGGAGAAGGAGGAGAGGAGCAGCAGCAGCAGCAGCAGGAGGAGGAGGAGGAGGAGAGGAGAGGAGAGGAGAGGCGAGGAGGGGAAAGGAGATGAGAGGATATGAAAGGAGAGGAGAGGAGAGGAGAGGAAAGGAGAGGAGAGGGGAGGGGAGGAGAGGAGAGGATAGGGGAGGGGAGGGGACGACGGGAGAGGAGAGGAGAGAGGAGGAGAGGAGAGGGCCAGTGAGTGAGGGCATGACCAGGAGGACGAGCAGCGAAGAGGACGACCACGACGCCGCGGAACAGACGACGAGTCCACCGATGCTGCTGCGGCTGCTTCCTGTCGCCGCCGCGCGGCCAGGACGGCCGCGTGTCGGTGGAGCCCGCCACCGGCCCCGGCTACGTGGAAGTCGGGGACGGCGCGAGAGCGCGCGGGGGGGGAGGGGGGGAAGGGGTCCCCTACGGCGGCAGCCTCGGCGGCTGTTGGCCCTCCCCTGCCTCGCGGAGGAGGAGGAGGAGGAGGAGGAGGAGGAGGAGGGAAGAGGAGGAGGAGGAAGAGGAGGAGGAGGAGGAGGAGGAGGACGACGAGGAAGGGCAGACCGTGGGGGACGAGAAGGGGTGACGGTGCGGGGTGAAAGGGGGGGGGAGGAGGAGGACCAGCGTAAACCCAAGACCCATCAACGATGTTGCAATGAACCCTCCCTCCAAGTTCTCTCGTCACAGGCCCCTACCAGGATTCACTTCCACTGGAGGAATTGCCTCGTTGGAAGACAACCGTTTGAAATTCCTGAACCGCGCAAGAACACCGTTCTTGGGACGTCAACACCGCGAATCAAAGTTACGGTTGCGTCATGACGATCCTGAATCGCGCCAGAAAGCCGTGGAAAATCAACACCGCGAATAAACTTAATTGTTGCGCCCTGACAGTCCTACGTCATGCCAGAACACCATTTCTGGCACGTCAACCATACGAACCCTTGAAGCTGCTGCAAATTCTTGAGACGAATTTGTGCGGAGCTAAGGCGAGATCCACATGTTGAAAAGGAAGTGGCCTCCATCTGTGAAACTCTTCTGCATGTTAAGACGAGTGTGCGCGATGCAAAGGCGAGAGCCACATTTGAAAACGGTCCGGCCGCCATCCGTGAAATTGTTGCGAATTTTGAGGACGAATATGCGCGGCGCTAAGGCGAGAGCTACATTTGAAAACGACCCGCCCTCCATCCGCGAAACTCTTGCAAACGTTTAACACGAATGCGCGCGACACTAAGGCGAGAGCCACAGTTTGAAAACCACCCGCCCTGAAAATACCAATTGTTGCACAGTTTCAGCTTGAGGATCATAAATGGTGAGGAAGTCTCAGGCGAAACGCCCGACCCGCCCTACCGACGCGTCTCGGGGTGCGACAGGCGGAAGTCATTCAACAAGGAAAGGAATGGAGGAGGAGGAGGAGGAGGAGAAGGAGGAGGAGGCGGAGGAAAGGAGGAGGAGGAGGAGGAGGAATAGGAGGAGAAAGAGGTACCCTGCCACTTCTGCTTTTTGCCTCCGGGCGCAAAAGAAGGGAGGGAAGTACGAGGAGCAGGCAGCGAGGGAGGAGAAGGAGGAGAAGGACGAGGAGGAGGCGGAGGTTGAGGAGGCGGAGATGGAGGTGGAGGTGAAGGTGAGTGAGCAGGAGGGGGAGGAGGAGGGAGAAAAGGAGAGAATGAGGCAGAGGAGGAGGGAGACACGTAGCGGGGAGAGAGGGAGGACGAGGATGGCGAGGGAGAGGGAGAAGGAGGAGAAGGGCCTGCCCTTGGCCTGGGTCCGTAGCAGGCAGGTATCGGCGTATGTCTTCGGTGCCACAAGGCGGGACGAGCAGCATCGAGATGAAGAGCAACGCGGACGGCTCCGTATCTTTGACCAGGCTCCTCCTGATCTTCCTCCTCGTCAGCACTATCATTATTTTTGTTCCCCTCATCCTCATCCTCTTCTACCTCCTGTCACACACCTCTCTCTGTCCCTCCTTCCTCCTCACCTCCTCTCCCCATCCTCCTTATCCTCCTCCCCTTCTCCTCCTTATCTCTCCCCCTCCCCCACCACCACCCCAGGGCTCATCCTTCTACATGTTTCTCATCCGAATTATCCTCCTCACCACTCCTGCTGATGCTGTTCCTCATCCTACTCCCCCCGCTCGATAACCAGCCCATGCCAACCTATCTTCGCATCCCCATGTACATCCTCCTCTGCCTTCCGCCTCCTTCTCAACCTCCTTATCCTCCTCCTCCTCCTCCTCCTCCTCCTCCTCCTCCTCTTCTTCGTCCTCCTCCTCATCCTCATCCTCCTCCTCCTCCTCCTCCTCCTCCTCCTCCTCCTCCTCTTCATCCTCTTCGTACTCGTCATCCTCTTCATCCTTTTCCTCCTCATCCTCCTCGTCCTCCTCCTCCTCCCTTCCTTCTCATACTCCTCGTTCCACCCCCATCTCATCCATCACCCTCCTTACGCATCTCATTTTGTTCGTCCTCCTCCTCCGCCTCCTCCTCCTCCTCCTCTTCCTCCCCATCATCATCATCATCATCATCATCATCATCATCATCATCATCATCATCAGCAGCAGCAGCAGCAGCAGCAGCCTCATCAGCATCATCATCAACATCATCATCAGCAGCATCATCAACATCATCAGCAGCAGCAGCATAGTCATCGTCATCATCATCATCATCATCATCATCATCATCATCATCATCATCATCATCATCATCAGCGTCATCGTCATCAGCAGCAGCAGTACCATCATCATCATCAGCAGCAACAGCAGCATCATCATCAGCAGTATCATCGTCATCGTTGTCATCATCGGCAGCATCAACATTATCAGCAGCATCATCATCATGATCAGCATCGTACTCATCAGAATCTTCGTTATCATCATCAGCAGCATCAGCATCATCATCACCACCATCATCATCATCAGCATCCGCATCATCATCATCATCAGCAGCAGCATCACCAGCATCATCATCATCCCCATTCGTCCTCCTCAACTTCCCTCATTGCCCCTCCGCCACCCCTCCCCTCCAGCGGTGACGACTTCCTGTGCTCCGCGGAGAGGCGGGTCACAGTGCTCACGTGCGAGACGAGGAAGAGCAACGTGGAGAGTTGGCCCATGCAGGCGCCGCTGTCGGCATTGACGTCTCTATTCAAAAATAGCGTCGTCTTCCTCTGCTTCGTCGTCGTCGGCGTTACCGACGTCGAAGGGTTGGCGCTGTGGTGGTCAGCGTCATTCCCATTGTTAGCAGCCTCGTCCTCCCTCCCTCAGGGCCCCCCGTCATAGGGGGAGGAAGATAATGTAGAATAAGAATAATAAGAAGAAGGAGGAGGACGACGACGAAGACAAGGCGCCCTCTTCATCTTCCTAGCCCGCCTCGTCGACGTCGTCATCTTCCTCCTACTTCCCATCCTCGCCATCACCGTAACACTTCACGGTTTACTAAATCCGCCGACCCTGTCGACGTGTGCGAGGGGGAGTTCATGGCCGGTCGTCCTAGGGTGGTCCTGGGAGACGTTCTTTGAGTCGAAGTTTGTCCTCCCTTTCAGGTGGCCACCTTTGGCTCTCCAAGTTCGCCAACCCGAGGTGAATCGAGTCAGGTCTTAGTCGATTCGAGCTGGATCCCTTTCCATCTGATCCCTTCCCCACTGGGGGAGGTCCCAGGGGCGGGGGGTGGCTGGGTGGGTCTGGGGGATGGGTCCCCGGTCAGAATGCACTCGCCACCTTCCCCTGTTTGGTAATCTTCGGGCTAGTCTGGCTCTCTTTCGGCAATTTAGGTCCGAGACGTTCCATGAGTGCTCAAAAAGGGTGCAACGGCACCCCCACGCAGCCCAGCATCCCCTCAAGACGGCCCGAGAGGTTCCCAAGACGCCCAACGAGGGCTCCAAGAGGACCCCAAGAGGGCCCCTTGAGGGCCCCAAGAGGCAAAGATCACAGATGTTTCTTCTGCTGTTGACCGCTTCTCTGGCTTCTCGCTGTTTCAGGCTGCCCAAGATGGCCCAAGGGGCCCCCAAGGTCGCCCCAAGACGGCCCGCGCGCCCCAAAGAGGGCCCCAAGACGGCCCAAAGGGCCCCCCAAGAGGGCCCAAGAGGCCCCCAAGAGAGAAACAAGAGGGGGAGCCCAAACTGACTTGTCGAGCCCTTCCCCCAGAAATGCCCTCGAGACCACCAGCAGGCCCCCGCCGACCCCACACGAGGCTCCAAGCACACGACGCGTCAACGACTGCAGCGGCCCAAGACATCCCAAGAGGACTGTTGTCCGCGCCTCTTCCCGCATGTTCTGTTTCGGACGGGATCTTCCAGGGTCGGCGGAATTAGCCGCAAGGCTTTTGCAACATCATTCGTCCTCGATCTCGGATTCGGTGACGTCGTCGCCCTCCATTCTCCACTCCTGCATCGTCATCGTCCCCCGCCGCCTCCCCCCCCGCACCCACACCACCAAACACCGCATACACCCCAGCATCTTCATCCAAACATACTCATCCTCATCCTAGCACTCGTCCTCCCCCCCTCATCCGCACAATCATTATCCTCAGTCTGATCTTACTTTTCTTTCTCAGCATCATAGCCCTCGTCTGTAACTGTCATCTCCCGCGTCATCCTCATCGTCATCCCTCGTCTTCAATTTCCTTCTTCACACCCGCCCTCCTCTAATTGACGTGCAGGGGGTTGGCGCCACTATGACCATCCATAACGTGTGCTTCAACAAGACGTGGTACGGCTTCAAGACGAAGGTGGACGCCCACAGCTCGCGCGCGAGGAGGAGGAAGAGAAGGTGGGGGCGAGGGACAAGCGGCAGCGGCAGGATGAGCGCGTGGGGCGGCACGAGGAGGGCGAGAAGGAGGAAGAGGCAGAAGATGAGTTGCCGCAGTGCCAAGGTAAAGAGGGGGGGCAGGAGGAGAAGTGATGAGAAGGAGGTGGCGGAGGATGAGGAGAGGCGGCACCACCGGCATCACCACAGGGAGCAGGAGGAGGAGGAGGAGGAGGAGGGGCGCAAGCCGCGCGAGGAAGAGGAGAATCGGACGTGGAGGAAGAAACGGAGAAGGAGCTGGAGGAGGAGAGATCTGGGAGAGGAGGAGGAGGAAGTGGACGCGGAGGATGAGGACGAGAGCGCGGTGATGATATGATTTCTCCCTCCCCTCCTCCCCTGCCAGCCCGCCCCCACTCCCCCAACCCCCCACTCCCCCAACCCCCCACCCACGCTCCCGAGATTGCCTCCCTCTCTCACCTCATCCTCCACCATCATCATCCCTGCCGCCCGCTCCCCCCCCCTCCTCCCCCTCCATATCCTCCTCAGCCTGCCGCTCCTCCTTCTTCAGTCTTCATCGCCACCGTCATCGTCGTGGTCATCGGCATCATCACCACCCTAACCCGCACTTCTCCACTTCCTCGTCTCCTCCCCATCCTCCCTCTCCTGCTCCCCCCCTCACTTGCCCCCCCACCACCCACCCCTCCCACTCCTCCATGTCCTCCGGATGGACACCCTTACGGTCGGGAATTCTAGACGCTTCGCGTATCCCCACCAGCCCGTCCAGAAATGAGTCCCAGGGGAGTGGAGGTGATGAGGGAAGCGGGGGAGCATGCAGAAGAACAAAGGGCGGGGTAGCCGCCATATACCCCAAGAGGGGGAGGAGGTAGGAGGAGTCGTCGTCGTCGGAGTAGGAGGAGGAAGAGGAGTAGCAGGAGGAGGAGCAGGAGGAGGAGGGGGAGGAGGAGGAGGGGGAGGAGGAGGAGGAGGAAGATGAGGAGGAGGAGATGGAGGAGGGCGAGGAAGTGGAGGACGAGAAGGAGGAGCAGGAGAAGGAGGAGGAAGAGGGGGAGGAGGAGGAGGAGGAGGAGGAGGAGGAGGAGGAGGAGAAGAGGGAGGGGGAGGAGGGAAGTGGAAGAAAAAGAGGAGGAGGAGGACAATGGCGAGCTTGGGGGCCTCTTGGGCAGTCTTTGGGGCCTCTTGGCGGTCCCGGGGGCCTCTTGCGTATCTCGGGGAGCCTCTTGGGGCCTCTTGGGGGTCTTTGGGAGCCTCTCGGAGGCCTCTTGGGCGCCTCTTGGGGCCTCTTGGGGCCCTCTTGGGGCGCTCTTGGGGCGCTCTTGGGAGCCTTCAGGGCGCTCTTGGGGACATGTTGGAGGAGATCTATCAAAGAAGGGGGGGGTCAATCAGCCTTGCCCCTCTAGAGTGCCTCGAATCGCCTCTTGGGCCCCAAAAGGGGCCAAAATCCTTCCAAAACCTAGGGAAATCCACGTTTTTTTGCGTTCTCGCCTTTTCGCTCTTGGAGCCGTCTTGGGCCATCTTGGACGCCCCAACGACCCGCGGAACCCTCCGTCCAGGTCCAGGGGAGGGGGTAGGGGGAGGAGTAAACCCCTCCCCGAAAGGGAAGAAGGGAGTTGGAAGAGGACACTCTCTAGACCACCGACGCCCAGAGGGCTGGTGGGATTCTGGGATAGCGTGTCGCTCCGCCTGCTTTGGCACCACCCCTCCTCCTCAACCTCATATCGAGTTATCATCATCCACCTCCTCCTCCTCCTCCTCCTCCTCCTCCTCCTCCTCCTCCTCCTCCTGCCCTTTCGATGTATACACATACAGGTATTCATCAGCACGAGTACCATCGTTATCCTTATTGTTATCTGCATCGCCAACACAGTCTTCATCATCAGGTTCATCAACATCAGCAGCAGATTCATCCTCGTCATCAACATCGTCATCCTCATCATCATCATCAGCAGCAGCATCATCATCATCACCTTCATCATCAGTATCGTCATCGTCATCGTCATCATCATCGCCATCAGCAGCATCATCATCTGCATCTGAATCATCATCATCATCATCTGCATTATCATCATCATGATCATCATCGTCATCGTCATCGTCATCGTCATCATCATCACCTCGGCCACCCAGAGGTTCCTGGACCATCATCAGCATCATCAGTTTCATCATCGTCGTGGTCGGCATCATCATGACTATACGCACCATCGTCATCATCATCAGCATCATTATCATCAGCAGCATCTCATCATCACCATCACCATCACCGTCGCCATCATCATCAGCAGCATCATAATCAGCATCATCATAAGTATCACCATCATCAGTATCACCATCATCGTCCTCCTCCTCCTCTTCCTTGTCGTCATCGTCAGCGTCGGAGCCACCATCGGCTTCATCGTAATCGTCAACATGATTCGAATCGTCATCATCACCATCATCATCACCATCACCATCACCTCATCACCCCCAGCATCCTGACCATGGCCTCGTCATCATCATCGTCACGATAATCAGCATAAGATTACTCATCTTCATCATCGCCATTGTCATCATCAACACCATGTTCAGAATCAGACTCAGTAGCATCATCATCAGAATCATCATTGTCATCATCATCATCAGCAGCAGCTTCACCATCATCATCATCATCATCAGCATCATCATCATCCACGTGCCCCCTGCTCCTTCTTCTCATCCTCCTCTCAGTTCTCTCTCTCTCTCTCTCTTCCCTAACTCTGTCTCCCCATCCTCCTCCGCCACCTGTCTTCCCCCTCTTCCTTCACTCTCCTCATCCCTCCTCCTCCCTTGGGCTTCTCAGCTCTGGGACGCGCTGGTCACCGCCGCCCTCTCCCTTAGTGGTGGTCCTGACGAGGTTGGGGCAAGGGGTGCCGAAACGTACCCCCAGGCTCAGCAAGGCCTGAGGGTGCAAAGACGGAATGTCTGGCTGATGCTCTCGGGGTGGCCTTTGTTTGGGGGGGAGCACATTTGCACCAAGCCTCGCAGGAGGGGCCGCAGCACGGTGCACCAGCAGGAAGGCCGCAGCACGGCCCAGCGATGCGGCCGTGCACCAAGCCTCGAAGGGTGGGCCCGCTGCGGGCGGCACCTCGTCTCCGTCGTTGTCGTCATTGTTGTTGTCGTCGGCGCTATCGTGGTCGTAATGCGTTTTGGTCTGCTCACGGCCGGCTTCCCTTACGCAGTGACCATCACCGTCTTCCTCCTCCTACTCTCTATTGCTCCTTCCTCCTCCTCCCTCCCTCACGCATCCTTCTCATCCTCCCGCGTCCTCCTCCCTCCTCCTCCCTGATCCCCCATCCCTCCTCATCATCCCCCCTCCACCACCTCCCTCCCCACTCCTCCCCCCATCCTCCTCCCTCCTTCCTCCCTTCCCTTCCTACCTCCATCCCCCCTCCTCCTCGCGGCCGCTGCCGCCGCCGACGCAGAGGTGGATGCCTACCACGAGCGCGTCATGGAGCTGACCGCGGGGGGCCAGCCGGAGCAGCTCGCCCTCGCCTCGGGGGCCGATCCTCCCCCCCCCCCCCCAAGGCATGGAGTCCGCGCGCGGCGCGTGCGCGACGAGCAGCAGAGGAGGGATGGGATGGGAGGGATAATCGTCTGGGGGAGTCTCGGGAGCATGGGCCCGACTTACAGGGAGTCTTGACGGCAGTTCAAGACGGGATCTCGTCTTGGGGAGGTGGGAACTGGCGGGGGGGGGGGGGCAGAAAGCAGGGGGGGAGCGCGAGAGGGGGGAGGGGAGGAGAGCAAAGGTGGAGGAGAAGGAGGTGGGTGCTGCTAAGAGTAGCAGCGCGCGGGCTATTCAGATGTCCGCGCAGGACAGGGAGGAGGAGGACGAGGCGGTGATGGAGGTGGCGGATGAGGAGAGATGGAGGATGACCTTAGTTGTTTCGCGTGGATGCTCTAAAGAGTGGCGGCGGTACCGGCCATCCGCTACCCCTCAGACCCATGTCCGAGGCGTTGTCGATATCGATTCGTCCCAACCGAGCGTAGCCCCAGGGAGTGGGTGAGAGACGAGGAAGGAGGAAATAGAGAGAAAGGAGAAAGGAGGGGCCCTGACCGTCAGGAATACAAGCTCTTTGGTATTAGGAGTGCGGTAGTCTAGAGCTTCGCCTGGGCACCTCCAGAACTTGTTGTGCTGTATGTGAGGCCAGATGAGTTTACAGGTTAACTCTGCGGGACTGACCACCAAACAACGAATGTATCATCTATCCTTTACTCGCCCGTGATCTCTCCCCCTTGATCTTACAGACCCCCACTCCGAAGACAGCGCATGCTGCTAGACGCCAACCTACAAGTTTGGATTTCGTTATATCGGCCTAGACCGACGGCAGGAGAAGCTAGGAGATGCCACTTGGTTTCGCCACTGACATTGGGTGCCAGCCACTGCACCGACCTCAGAGCGAGGAGGAAAAGGAGGAGGAGGAGGAGGTGAGCTACACCGCAATAGACAGCTGCAAAGTTTCACAGCGTGCGAGGAAACGATAGTACTGACCGTGCCAAGGGCTTTCGCTGGGGACTACTCGCATGGGCACCTCCCAGACAACAATGCGCATGCGACAGGGTACTGAGGGAAGGGTAGGCAGACGTGAGGGGGGCGTGAAGGAGGAAAAACAGAGACATGCGAGGAAGAGAAGCAGCATAGACGGCAGCAGCATTGTCAGGAGGGGCGGCATAATCAGGAGCAGGAGCGAAGGATCGGGACTGGCGGTGGCAGCATCCGCAGGGGAACGGGGAGTTGGAGGCACTCCAGCACCAGCACAGGGAGGAGAGACTGAGGGAGGGAGGGGAAAAGAGAGGTAGAGAGGGAGGGAAAGAGGGAGGGAGGGAGGGAGAGGATGATAATGCGGAGGACGAGGAGGGAGGGAAGACGGCAGGCATGGAGGCGAGAAGCAACGGGGGGAGTGAGGACGGTGATGGCGAGGACGAGGATGAGCGTCGGCTCTGGGCTGGGCCCCTTGCCTCGGGCCGTGTCGCTCCTGGCCCTCGGTCCCCGCCCTAGCCCTGGGCCCCCCTTGCGTCCTGCCTGGCGCGTCCTCGGCTTGGGCGTGCCTGAACAACCATGCCGGCCAGCACCGCATCCACTCTGGATCGAACGCCCACCGCGCAGCAATCGCCATGAAGGAAAGGGGTCCTGAGGGAAACGGGTCCTGAGGTTGTTTCGCCGTTCTCGGGCTTCCCCTGGTCTTCCAAGGCCTTCGGGGCTGTCAGAAAAGAAGTCGGGATGACGAGCTGGCCCTGGGAGAAGCCCCCCCAGGATCCAGAACCCGTTCCCCTCAGGACCCGTTCTCTTCGTGCCAAGGCAGCCCACCCACAGCGAGGTTGCCAGGGGTCGACCACCCCGCGCGGCACCCCACCGGCCTCGCACTGGGGGGAGGGACGGACGCCAGAGGGCCCTCTTCTTCGGGAGGCTGGGGGGCAGGGGCCCCCCGCGCCTCAGCATCGTTGAGCGCATCCCCGTCCCCCCCCGGGCCAAGATGCCCCAGCCCCACCATCCCACACGCCCCCCGTGGGGCACGGGCCCCTTGAAAACCCGAGGGGAGCAGCCTCTATCCCCTATCTGGGGTGGCAGATCGGCCACGCCCGCGGGGATGGGGATCGGGGATGGGGATCGGGGATGGGGATCGGGGATCGGGGATGGGGAGGGGAGGGCCACGCCCGTGGGGCCAAGGCCACGCCCGCGGGGATGGGGATCGGCGAGGGGAGGGGAGGGCGGGAGAGTGCGGGCGGGAGGGCAGGGCGAGGGGCCTCGCGGAGAGAGGCGGGACAGAGGAGGATGGAGGGGAGGAGGAGGTGGAGGAGGAGGAGGAGGAGGAGGAGGAGGAGGAGGAGGAGGAGGAGGAGAGGAGGAGGAGGAGGAGGAGGGGGAGGGGGAGGGGCGAGGGGGAGGAGGAGGAGGAGGAGGAGGAGGAGGAGGAGGAGGAGGGTGGGAGGAGGAGGAGGGTGGAGGAGGAGGAGGAGGAGGAGGAGGAGGAGGAGGAGGAGGAGGAGGAGGAGGACCTCTGGCCGCGCGGAGAGCAGCCGCGGGGGAGGCGCTGGGCGGCCGCCCGCGCGGCGAAGCAAGACCCCCGCGCCGCGCGGCCCGCCGGGACGGGCGGGCGCCCCGACCGCAGGAGGCCGCCCGAGGAGTGCTGCAGGAGGGGGGGGAGGCAAGAAGCGAGGGGAGGAGGGGAACAAGACAGATATAAAGAATACAGGAAAACGAAAACACGACAACAAACAAGATAGCATAAAGAGAAAGAAACAACGAAGGAGAGAAGGGGAGCAATAACACAAACAGGAACTAAAGAAAAAAACGAAAACATACAAAAAAAACTAATACAACATAACTATGCGCTAATATAAAAAAGGCCCAACACCAACAACAACAACAACAACAACAACAACAACAACAACAACAGCAACAGCAACAGCAACAGCAACAGCAACAGCAACGACAACAACAACACACACACAAAAAAAATAGAAAAGAGGCACGGTCGGAAACTCTGGGAGCCGCTTCTGGCCCACCGCGCGTCGGTGCGGCACGCTATCCACCTCGAGGTCCCCGAGCGGCAACATCCCGAGCGTTCCCGAGCCTCCCGTCCCGCGGAGAGGAACGACACGCCATCCGCTCGCGGAGGGTAATTCGCGTATCGCTGGGGCCGCTTGCACGGAAATGCCACTCTCGAGCGAAATGCGCGCCGAGCTTGGGAGACGGCGACAAGTCACCCGCCCGCGCGGGGCCCCGAAGACTGGGGTGCGAAGAACTTGCGCCGCGCCAGGGCGGGAATGCCACTTTCATTCGAAGTCTGCGGCGAGAGCGACATGTTTGTCCGCTCGTGCGTCGACGAAGCGACGTGCGAGAAATGGGCGCCGCGTCTCAGCGGGGGCTCAAAACTCCCCTATCTCTTTTTTTCTCTCTCTCTCTCTCTCTCTCTCTCTCTCCCTCTCTCTCTCTCCCTCTCTCTCTCTCTCTCTCCCTCTCTCTCTCCATCTCTGGAAGAATGGGCGCGGCGCCGACGCGAGGGCAGCATCTCGCCCTGTCGCGCGCGGGGTGTGCGCCCCAGCCCACTCGCGCCGCACGCTTTTTGCCGCGTCGGCGGCAGAGAACTTCTGCAGGCCGAGATCAAAATGCGTGGCTTTGATTTGTTTTTTTCTTGCGGATCGGATGAGACCCCCTCCTTGGCATCGCTCGGACGTGTGCATTTTTTCTTCGGCGAGGACCATCGAGGAGCATCCTTGATCATTTGGCGAAAAAACCACGCACGAAACCGAAAAAACACAGGCAATGGACGTCCGAGCGATGGCCAGCCTCGGATTGGTTGGCTGTCGGCCGATTGGGTGGTAGAGTGGGAGCGCACACCAGCAAAGAACAGGGATCCGAGGGGAGGAGGAAGGGAGAGAGGACGAGGAGGCAGGGAGGGAAGGGAGGGCAGGTGAGGCAGCCAGGCAGCCTAGAGAAGGGGAGGGCAAGGAAGATCACCACTGCCAGGAACGGGCGGCGAAACGGCAGCGAGCGGGGGGGGGTGGTGGAGAGGTGCGAGAGGAGGGGTGGTAACGGAGGGGGGGGTAGGGCAGGATGAGGGGGAAGATGTATTGGATAAACAGGGACAGGACAGACCCGGGCAGGAGGAGGAGGAAGAGGAAGGTGAGGAAGGAGAAGAGCTGGCGGAGGAGTTGCAGCTGAAGCAGGCGAGAAGGAGGAGGGGAGGGAGGAGCGGCACCAGCGGGAGGAGGAGGAGGAGGAGGAGGAGGAGGAGGAGGAGGAGGAGGGGGAGGAGGAGGGGGAGGGGGAGGGGGAAGAGGGAGTGGTGGAGAGGCCGTGGAAGGATGAGGAGGAGGAGGAGGAAGAGGGGGAAGGGGAGGAGGAGGAGGAAGAGGAGGAGGAGGAGGAGGAGGAGGAGGAGGAGGATGAGGAGGAGGAGTAGGAGGAGGAGGAGGGGGAGGAGGAGCAGGAGGAGGAGGAGGAGGGGCGTCGGGCGTCACCCTCCATACCCCCGGCCGTGGGGAGGGCAGCAGGCGCGGCAGGCGTGCCGCCCGCGGTCTGAGGGAAGCTGTGCCCGGGTGGCCGGGCCGGCCGCGGCGCCGCGGGTGCGCGGTTTCGTCGAGCGGCTCCGAAGGAAGGAGGGAAGGAAGGAAGGAAGGAAGGATGGAAGGAGGGAAGGAGGAGGAGGCGGAGGAGGAGGAGGAGGAGGGAAGAAAGGAGGAGGGAAGGAGGAGGAAGGGAGGAAGGGAGGAAGGGAGGAAGGGAGGAAGGGAGGAAGGGAGGAAGGGAGGAAGGGAGGAAGGGAGGAAGGGAGGAAGGGAGGAAGGGAGGAGGGGAGGGGGGAGGAAGGGAGGAAGGGAGGAAGGGAGGAAGGGAGGAAGGGAGGAAGGAGGAAGGGAGGAAGGGAGGAAGGGAGGAAGGGAGGAAGGGAGGAAGGGAGGAAGGGAGGAAGGGAGGAAGGGAGGAAGGGAGGAAGGGCGAGGAAGGGAGGAAGGGAGGAAGGGAGGAAGGGAGGAAGGGAGGAAGGGAGGAAGGGAGGAAGGGAGGAAGGGAGGAAGGGAGGAAGGGAGGAAGGGAGGAAGGGAGGAAGGGAGGAAGGGAGGAAGGGAGGAAGGGAGGAAGGGAGGAAGGGAGGAGGAGGAGGAGGAGGAGGAGGAGGAAGGGAGGAGGAGGAGGAGGAGGAGGAGGAGGAGGAGGGAGCTTGAGCATCAATCGTTCACTCTGGAGCCACGTCTGCCACGCCAGCGCGCGGTCTCGGCACGACCGAGGTGGTCCTGGTCGACAATTCTGACATGGCCTTCGGGGGCTGCACGTACGATGATCTCTTGGACAGGTACGATAAGATCTCGAGCCTCGTGAACGTGCCCGTGATAGCTGGCGCGGACAACAAGCTCTTCCCGACCACGGATTGGCCGTACCACACGTTCGAGGAGCGCCGGGGGCGGATCATGAGGGCGTTCGGCATGACGGCGGGCAAGTTCTGCAAGTACACGGAGTGCCCCGAGCTCAGGGGGGGGCTTTGGGCATTGCTAGGGGCGTTTTTGTTCTGCTGTGTTTCCCCTCTACGAGGTGTCGTGCGGCGCCGGGGGCATCACAGACAGACGCCACGTAGGTGAGAATCGAAATTCGTGTTCCTCCTCGTCAACAGTGTTGTCTTCCTCTTCTTATTCCTCTTCCTGCCATCGTCTCCTCCTTCTCCTCCTCCTCCTCCTCCTTTTCCTCCTTCTCCTCCTCCCCCTCTTCATCCTCATCCTCCTCCTCCTCCTCCTCTTCCTCCTCTTCCTCCTCCTCCTCCTCCTCCTCCTCCTCCTCCTCCTCCTCCCCGTCTTCTTCCTCCTATTGTTCCTTCCCCTCCTTTTCTTTTTACCTAACAGCGAAGACTGATAGGCTTCTAGTAGGGTCAAAAGAGAGCATCATGACTCCCCAGGGGGGTCTGGGCGGGATCCGGACGGGTGGCCCCGGGAATCCAGGGATTTTTTAGCCAACAGTAACAAACTTCGTAGACTCCCAATGAACTGTAGGCCACTTCGTGCTCTTCGAGTTCCCAGAACTCCATTCCTGGGCATGATTTTGAATGCCCGGAGCCAACTGTAGGCCACTTCGTGGTCTTCGAGTTCCCAGAACTCCATTCCCGGGCATGATTTTGAATGCCCGGAGCCAACTGTAGGCCACTTCGTGGTCTTCGAGTTCCCAGAACTCCATTCCTGGGCATGATTTTGAATGCCCGGAGCCAACTGTAGGCCACTTCGTGTTCTTCGAGTTCCCAGAACTCCATTCCCGGGCCACATTTTGAATGCTGAGGCAGGCTGATGCTGAGGCTGAGGCAGGCTGAGGCTGAGGCAGGCTGAGGCTGAGGCCGAGGCTGAAGGCAGACTGAGGCTGAGGCTGAAGCAGGCTGAGGCTGAGGCTGAGGCAGGCTGAGGCTGAGGCTGAGGCAGGCTGATGCTGAGGCAGGCTGAGGCTGAGGCTGAGGCTGATGCAGGCTGAGGCTGAGGCAGGCTGAGGCTGAGGCCGAGGCTGAAGGCAGACTGAGGCTGAGGCTGAAGCAGGCTGAGGCTGAGGCTGAGGCAGGCTGAGGCTGAGGCTGAGGCAGGCTGATGCTGAGGCAGGCTGAGGCTGAGGCTGAGGCTGAGGCTGAGGCTGAGGCCGAGGCTGAAGGCAGACTGAGGCTGAGGCTGAAGCAGAGGCTGAGGCTGAGGCAGGCTGAGGCTGAGGCAGGCTGAGGCTGAGGCTGAGGCAGGCTGATGCTGAGGCAGGCTGAGGCTGAGGCTGAGGCTGATGCAGGCTGAGGCTGAGGCAGGCTGAGGCTGAGGCCGAGGCTGAAGGCAGACTGAGGCTGAGGCTGAAGCAGGCTGAGGCTGAGGCTGAGGCTGAGGCAGGCTGAGGCTGAGGCTGAGGCTGAGGCTGAGGCTGAGGCTGAGGCTGAGGCTGAGGCTGAGGCTGAGGCAGGCTGAGGCTGAGGCAGGCTGAGGCTGAGGCAGGCTGAGGCTGAGGCTGAGGCTGAGGCTGAGGCTGAGCAGGCTGAGGCTGAGGCTGAGGCAGGCTGAGGCTGAGGCTGAGGCAGGCTGATGCTGAGGCAGGCTGAGGCTGAGGCTGAGGCTGATGCAGGCTGAGGCTGAGGCAGGCTGAGGCTGAGGCCGAGGCTGAAGGCAGACTGAGGCTGAGGCTGAAGCAGGCTGAGGCTGAGGCTGAGGCAGGCTGAGGCTGAGGCTGAGGCTGAGGCAGGCTGAGGCTGAGGCCGAGGCTGAGGCTGAGGCTGAGGCAGGCTGAGGCTGAGGCTGAGGCTGAGGCTGAGGCTGAGGCTGAGGCAGGCTGAGGCTGAGGCTGAGGCTGAGGCTGAGGCAGGCTGAGGCTGAAGGCTGAGGCAGACTGAGGCTGAGGCTGAAGCAGGCTGAGGCTGAGGCTGAGGCAGGCTGAGGCTGAGGCTGAGGCTGAGGCTGAGGCAGGCTGATGATGAGGCAGGCTGAGGCTGAGGCTTGATGCAGGCTGAGGCTGAGGCAGGCTGAGGCCGAGGCTGAAGGCAGACTGATGTTGAGGCTGAAGCAGGCTGAGGCTGAGGCTGAGGCAGACTGAGGCTGAGGCAGGCTGAGGCAGGCTGAGGCTGAGGCTGTGACTGCGACTGCCGTTGCCACTGCGACTGTCATCGCGAATGCGACTACGACTGCGAGAACAGCAGAATTCTACAACTGAATTCTCATCTGAATCGTAAGGGGAATGCTTCTAGACATGCTCCTACACATCGCTGTTAGGTTGTTTTGCCGGGATAATCAATCCGTATTCTCCTCCCGCCCTCCCTCCCTCTCTCCATCCCTCCTTCCCCCCCACCTTCCACTCCCCGTCTCCTCGCCCTCCCCCCCCCCCCTTTCCCCCTGGGGGGCGCGAGGGGGGAGGGGGAAGGGGGGAAGAAGTGAGCGAGGAGGAGGTGGTAGGATGGAGGGGGGAGAAGGAGAGGACGGAGAGGGGGGACGGGGAAAGGGGGGCGGGGGGGGGAAAGGAGGGGGGGAGGAGGGATGGAGAGGGAGAATGGAGAGGGAGAGTGAACGACGAGGGAGGGAGGAGGCCCTTCCCTTCCACCCCCTCGCCGCCAAAACGAGGGTCAGCGCGGACGAGAAGCAGAGACGCCCAAGCGGCGGAGCGGCACCAGTCCCAGGCGTGCCCATTGCCCCCCCCTTGAGGTCCGAAGTACTCGTACAGGTTCGCGGCCAGCGGCTTCCCAATCGAGCAGGAGGAGTGGGCGCAAGGAGGAGAAGCAGGAGGAGGAGGAGGAGGAGGAGGAGCAGGAGCAGGAGCAGGAGCAGCAGCAAAGGAGCATGAGGAGGGAGGGGTAGAGGAGGAGGGGGAGGGACAGGGTGGAGGAACAGGAGGAGGAGGAGGAGGAGGAAGCAGGAAGATGGCAAGAAGGAGGAGGAGGAGGAGGAGGAGGAGCAGCAGCAGCAGCTCAGGAGGGACGGGGTAAGGATCAGATGGAGAAGGGGGAGGAGGGACGGAGGAAGAGCAGGAGGGGGAGGGGGATGAGGAGGAGGTGGAGGAGAAGGAAGGAAAGAGGGGGAGGGGGAAGAGAAGGCGGAGGTCGACGGAGAGGAGGATGGAAAGAGGAGGAGTAAGTGTCCCACACACTGCTCACACCACTAACCTTCACCTCCCTGCTCTTGAAGTGGGGGAATCGGGCGGGAGCTTATTGGTAGAAGAAGGGTAACTACCGCCGCCGGCCACCCTAGCGTTGGCCGAGGAGGCCGCTGCCAGTAGAGCCTCCAACCCAGCGTCATCCGGCATGCGCCCCAGCCTGTCACGCGCGCATTTCGCAACTATAGCCGACGCCTGCACGCATGAATTTCAACACATTTCTTTTGATTGTTCTCTCTCTCTCTCTCTCTCCCCCTTGTCCATAATTCAGCAGCTCGCACGGTGTTAGCTAACCTCGCCACCTCAACCACGCGTAGCCACTACTGTAGGGGGCGGGCGGGGGGGAAACTACCATCCATCCCTGTGGGCGCCGCCAGTGGGCGAGTGAAGCCGATGCCGCACTCTTTCAACTCTACGTAGTCTCCTCTGGCCCTGCCGCTCCCTCCTCCGTGCGCAGTACCGTCGCCGCTCGTCTCTCCGCCGCGCCCCCCGACACGCATAGCTTGCGCGCAGCAGCGCGCATGCAGCTAGCCGGAACTGCATCCCACTGGATCTGCTAACAGCAGCGAGCACGTAGCAGCGAGAACGCGCAGTTTGCACGCAGCCTCAGTCTACCCTAATTTTGGCCTGCATCGCTTTCACGGCACGCCGTACTCGGGATGGGTAGGTCAAGCATGGACGGGGCGGTGGGAGGGAACTCTCACCGCCCTGGCTAGGGCCAGGGTGGTCGCAGCCACGACCCTTGCAGCACGGCGCATCGAACCTAGGACGCATCCCATCGCCACCTGTCTCTCACAACATCTCTCATGTTTGACACGTTGCTAACATGCAGCGGCTCGCACGCAGTTCAGCCTTCCGACACCTCAACCACGCGTCGCCACCATTATCGTGGCGGGTCCGTTTTGAGGATTGAGAGCCTGGGGGGGGTCGAAAGGCTAGCCTCGCTTCCACGAGAGGGACCACCGCTATCGGGTGGCGCAAACTTCCTCTTGCCGGGCGAGGATCCCCGGGAGGCCCCCCATCACGCCCACGGTAACCCTTCGCCTGCCTCGGCGGGTGAGGGCTGCCTGGCCGCGACTGGGGGCTGGACGAGGGGAGAGGCCCCTGCGCCATCCACCCTACGGCGAGCGTGGCCCCCCGCCACGCCCGCTTGTGTCGCAGCTGCTGCAAGGCCACCACATATCCAGCTGCTCCCTCCCTCTCCACCAGCCAGCCTGCAACCGGACCCCCTCCTCCTCCTCCTCCTCCTCCTCCTCCTCCTCCTCCTCCTCCTCCTCCTCCTCCTTGTCCTCACAGGCTAGTCGCAGTCGTCCTTCCTCGCCGTTCCTCATCCTCCCTCCCCTCCCCGGACAGGCGTCGGTGGGCCGAGCTACTCCCAACCCATTGGGGAGGCCCCTCTCCCCGCGGAGTCGCTCTGGATTTTACTTACACTGCGCAGTTTGATCCCCCCCCAGGGCAGCAGCCCCTGGGGGGGGGAATGGCAGCATCCCCGGAGGATACCAGTGCCGTCTGTCGCGAGTCACGAGGCGGAGGTGGAGAAGGAGGAGGAGGAGGAGGAGGATTGGAGGATGGGGGAGGCAAGGAGGATACGTCAGGAGATCGATGAGAGTGACGACGGCGGTGATAGACGAAGAAGATGATGATGATGATGATGATGATGATGATGATGATGATGATGATGATGATGATGATGATGATGATGATGATGATGATGATGATGATGATGATGATGATGATGATGATGATGATGATGATGATGATGATGATGATGATGATGATGATGATGATGATGATGATGATGATGATGATGATGATGATGATGATGATGATGATGATGATGATGATGATGATGATGATGATGATGATGATGATGATGATGATGGTGATGTGGTGTGTGGTGGTGGTGGTGGTGGTGGTGTGGTGATGATGATGATGATGATGATGATGATGATGATGATGATGATGATGGTGTTCTACCGCTGCTGGCGGAAAACCAGGGGGGGGGGGACCGGTTCGAACCCCTCCCCCCCCCCCCCCTCCGGAAAACCGGGGGGGGTCACTACCGGTTCGAACCCCTCCCCCCCCCCAGTCATCATGAAAAGGGGGGGGGTCACTACCGGTTCGAACCCCCCCCCCCCTCGAACTCGAAAACCGGGGGGGGTCACTACCGGTTCGAACCCCCCCCCCTCGAAAACCGAGGGGGGGTGCGGACAGTGGTGGGGACGGTGGTGGTGGGGACAGTGGTGAGGGGACAGCGGGACAGTGGTGGGGACAGTGGGACAGTGGTGGGGACGGTAGTGGTGGGGACAATGGTGAGGACAATGGTGGGAACAGTGGGGACAGTGGGACAGTGGTGGGGACGGTGGTGGTGGGGACAGTGGTGTGGGGACAGTGGGAATGTGGTGGAAACAGTAGGACAGTGGAGGGTACAGTGGTGGTGGGGACAGTGGTGAAGGCGGTGGCGAGGACGGCGGTGGGACAATGGGACAGAGGTACAGTGGGGACAGTGGTGGGGACAGTGGGAACAGTGGTGGGAACAGTGGGACAACTCAGTGGGACAGCGGAGGAGTCAGTGGGACAGTGGGGACAGTGGGGATAGTCGGGCAGTGGTTTGGGGCCGTGGAGAAAGTTGGGAGAGTGGAACCGTGGTGGGAACAGTGGTTGGGACAGTGGGGACAGTGCGACAGTGGTGGTGGCACTGGTGGGGACAATAGGGGCGGTGGTGGAATCAGTGGGGACATTGGTGGTGAGGACAGTGGTGCTGGGAACAACAGTGGGGGATGTAGTGAGGACGGTGGTAGGGACCTTGAGTCGTTCGCTGGCGGTGAAAGGGGGGGGGGAGGGGTTCGAACCGGTAGTGACCTCTCCTCCGGTTTTCGAGGGGGGGGGGGGTTCGAACCTGTAGGACCCCCCCCCAGTTTTCGAGGGGGAGGGGAGGGGGGGGAGGGGTTAGTGGAGGGGGGGTTTTGCCAGGGGGAGGGGGGGCCAGCAGGGGGGGGGGGGATTTCGGACGGGGGGGGGGGGACCCCCGGGCTCCGGAGAAAAAGGGCGGCAATTTTCCACAGTAAAGCGGCGGTGGATCACGCTCTCTCGATGATGATGATGATGATGATGATGATGATGATGATGATGATGATGATGGTGATGGTGATGGTGATGGTGATGGTGATGGTGATGATGATGATGATGATGATGATGATGATGATGATGATGATGATGATGATGATGATGATGATGATGATGATGATGATGATGATGAGAAAGAGGCATATCGTAATGATGGCGATGGCGACAACCAGCGGCGATGTGGTTGGTGATATGGGATGGTGGCGGCAACGGTGATGGTAATGGTGCGGAGGAAGACGTCCGGATGTTTATGATAATAGGGTTGGCGATGTGAATGGGTTGGTTGTGATGGGAACCAATGAAGATAGTAATGATGGCGATGGGCATGGTGATGGCGATGGTGTCGACGTTGATGCGGGTGGCGTTCGGGTAAGGAAGGGGAATGATGGTGACGATGATGAAATGGAGGATGCAGCGGAGGAGAGGTCGAGGGGGAAGGCAGAGGATTGGGGGGGAAAGGAGAGGGAGGGCGAAGGCGAGAAGAAGGGGGGAGGAGGAGGAGTTGGAGGCGGAGAAGGAGGAAGGGAACAAGGAGGATGAAAGGAAGAAGAGGGGGAGGAGGAGATAGAAGTTGTGCTGGTGTGCCCGCAGAGGTTCGCGAACAGCGGCTTCCTCGCGGGGCCACCGAAAGACCTGCAGCACCTGCTGAGGTGCCCAAGTCGTCCACCCTCTCCTGGTGGAGTAGGGAGGAAGGACGGTGACGAGAGACGAGGAGGAGGAGCCGGTGGGATAATAAGCGAGGGTGGGAACAAGGAGGAGGAGGAGGAGGAGGAGGAGGAGGAGAAGGAGGTGGGAGGAGCGGTTTAGTCGCAGTCCCTCCGTCGTCCCCGCCGTAGGGTCGTTCCCCTCTCCTCCTATTCCGCGCTGTGCTTACTTGGATCGAAGAGGTCGTTTCCATGAGAGCAGCGAGGGCGCCAATAATTCGACCTGGACCCACTCGCAGCGTTAGCGTCAGCAGGAGGGAGAGGAGATGAGGAGGGGAAGGTATGAGAGGAGAGGGAGGAGGAGAAGAAGAAGGAGGAGGACCAGTGCAAACCCGAGACGCATGAGCGATGTTGCAATAAACCCTCCCTCCAAGTTCCCTCTTCACAGGCCCCTACAAGGATACATTACACTGAGGGAAGTGGCCCGTTGGAAGACAACCGTTTGAAAACCCGGAGCTTTGCCAGAACATTCTTGGGATCTGAACGCCGAGAATCACCGATTTTGTTGCGTCGTGGCGATCCTGAATCGCGCCAGAACACCACTTCTGGGACTTTAATGCCGCGAATCAACGTGACTGTTGCGCCCTGACACTCCCGCATCGTACCAAAAAAACACCGCTTATGGAACTTTAGCCATGAGGCTCTTTGATTAATCCACATGGGCGTGCGGCGCTAAGGCGAGAGCCACATTTTGAAAAGGAGCCGCCCTCCATCCGTGAAGCTCTTTCAAAGTTTTGAAGGCGAGTGTGCGCGGCGCTACGGCGAGAGCCACATTCTGAAAAGGAGCTCCCCTCGACCCGTGAAAGACTTGAAGATGTTGAAGACGAGTGTGCGCGGCGCCAAGGCGAGAGCCACATTTTGAGAGCGAGCCGCCCCCCACCCCTGGAGTCCTGTCAACTCTTGCCGACGGATGTGCGCGGCGCTCTGGCGATATCCACACTTTGAGAGCGGGCCGCCCTCCACCCCTCCAAGTCCTTCAAAGATTGAGGACGAAAGCGCGCGGCGCGAAGGCGAGACCCACATTCTGAAAGCGGGCCGCAAGGAAATCTCGAGCGAAACGCCCAGCCCGCCCTTTCGGCCGGCCGCGGCGCACGGCAGGGAGGAGTCACTCCTCAGGAAGAGGGGTGGAGAGGGAGAGGGGGGACGAGAGGGAGGAGAAGCAGGAGCTGGAGCAGGTGGGTCTAAGAGGCGTTTGCCTTAGGACTTACCATGGCCGTCGCGCCCTTGTCCTCATCGTCCTCCGTCTCCTCCTCGTTGTCCTCCCCCTTACCTTCCTCATCATCATGGCCATCTTCCCCCTCGGTAACATGTTAGTCCCCTTCCTCCCTCATCCTCCTCTTCCTCTTCAACGTCTTCCTCATCCTCATCGCGTCTCTCTCTCTCTTTCTCTCTCCCTCTTTCTCCCTCCCTCCCTCTCCCTCCACCTCTCTCTCATGTTTTCTCTCTCTCTCTCTCTCTCTCTCTATATGTATATATTTGTGTATATATATACACATATGTATATCGGTTTCGCCCTCTCTATCTCTCTATCTCTCTTTCTCTCTCTCTCTCTCTCTCTTTCTGTCTCTCTCTCTCTCTCTCTCTCTCTCTATATATATGTCTCGCTCTTTCTCTCTCTCTCTCTCTCCTGCTCTCTTTCTATAGATAAGTGTGTGTGTGTGTGCGTATTCTCTCTCCCTCTCCCTCCCAGTCCTCCACCTCGTCCTCACCATCCTCACCGGCAACATCCCTCACTCCACCTCGTCCTCTGTTCTTCCTCTGCGTCCTCACCGTCATCTCCTTATCACCCTCCTTATCAGTATTCTCCCTCCGTCCCTCCATCCATCCCTGCCCCATGCTCCCTATTCGCTCTTTCTCCTTCCTCATCCTCATCATCATCCCCGCTCCTCATCCTCCTCATCATCATAATTCTCCTCCCCCTCCTGATCCTCCTCATCCTCACCCTCGCTCCACCATCGGAACGCCCTTCTATGGGTCGCGAACCATACCCCACCACCTCATAATCCTCCTCCCTCCATTCCCTCCCTACCTCCCATGATCGTTCTCTTCCTCTGGATGACGGGGGGGCACTTTGTAGTGGCAGTGCGAATTCTTTCACTGCGCTGGCCGAGGCATGGTAACATGTGATGGGGTTGTGTTATATGGGGAAATGTCCTTCTCTTCCTCATCGACCTCTTCTGTTTTTATTTTTGGTCGGCACTGCGGGCTGCCAGGGCCAGGCACAATGTCAGAAAAGGCAGTCATCCCAGAGACTGCCAGGCCTGGGGGAAGCTCCCCCTGATCCCCAGATCCCTCTCCGCCAAGGTTCACATGGTGAGAATAATCCTCGTCTTCCTCCTCGCCCCCCCCCCCTTGCAGAGACTATGTTTCATTCACAACAAAGCGGTGGCCAGGCTGACTTCAGGCGAGGCTTCATCACAGAGGATCACCTCTTCACCACGCCAATGCTACACGAGAAATCTTACGCATGGCAGCTACCCCTGCCTGTGAAGGCATTCGATTGCGTCGACCACAACGAACTTTGGAAGGATCTGCAGCAATAGCAAATACCAGGCACTTACAGCGAACTCCTACGACACCTGCACGACGGCCAGACAGCAACTGTGAGAGCTGGCATCTTCAGCAGAAGTGTTTCAATACAACGAGGTGTGAAGCAGGGTGACCCACTCAGCTTTGTTCTTGTTTAATGCGCGTTTGGAACACGTCTTCAAGCAGCTCAAGCCCAGCTGGCGCCGCAGGAAGTTTGGCATCACGACTGGCTTCGCTCTGGGGACCAGCATGACAAACTTGCGCTTGGAGGCGACTTTCTGCGATACGCCTCGAACTTGTGGCAGCTCGCTAATTTAATACGGGACTTGAGTAAAGAAGCACTTAACTATTCAGTTACATTGCACCTAGCCAAAGCCAAAATACTTGCGAATGTTAGCCAGAGGATGGGAAGGACACTTACACATGTCATGCTAGACTGTGCACATACCGACGTACTACCACACGACCAGAGCACACAGCATGTGGGAAGAAAGTAATGTTCCACGTCATCCACCACGCTGAGCTGCAGAACGTAATCGCCAATTGGTGTTCTAAGTTCAACCAAGTGGGAGATAAGCCCACACACAAACGATGCCCATTAACTACGCAGCCGATTGAAGATCTCCAACGACACAACAGCACCCTTGATGATGTACGCATGCTCACTTTGGACCCTTGGCGACAGACACGCCCATCATGTCACGACGGGCGCAGCGAAAATCTTTGAGATTTGCAATTGGAACACCAGGCAGACGAACACCGGCAGAACACAGCAGGCAGGCAGCGAACGCCGACAGCAACACCACCAGCGCCGACAGCAACAACACCAGCATTGGCACCAGCACCGACACTTGCACCGAACAACGCAGCCAACAGCACAGAGAACGCGACGACGAAATGGAATGGTGGGTTCACTCCCCACGAAGGCATACCTCCGCCGTTGTGGCGCTTGCGAAGCATGCGCGAGTTGACGACATGACAGCTGCACATCGAAAGCGCCAATGGATATTTGTGACGCTTCGCCTATCCAGCGAACCAGGCGATGAGTGGTTCAGCCTACACGCCTGTACAGCCTTTGGTTTTCCCCGCGCACTATCTCGGTACGCCAGCGGACCTCTCCGCCTCAGGGTCCGGCAACACAGGTGCGCCTTGGGCTTCCGCTGGCCCCCCTCGGCACCGTGAGGCTGTTTTCTGAGGAGCGGGCGCTGTGTGGTTCAGCCTACAACGCTTGTACAGCCTTTGCAGGCCGGCATGTAGTCGGGCGCCGCCCTGGCGATTTATTTCGTTGCTGCGCTTTTGAATTTAGTTCATTTTGTTCTGTGCGTGTGCAACCGCGAGCCTGCCTTGCGGGTGTGAGCATCGCTCGTCGACACTGGCGGCTTTGTTTGCAAATTCGCCTCGTACCGTGTCCCGGACGCCGCTTTCGCTCCGTGACCGTTGCCTCGGAGCTGCCGACCAAAATTATCCGAGCGATGGACCCAACCATATGCAGTTACGAGTACCGCAAAGCAGGTTGAACGAATGAGAGGGAACTCCCTATGGGGCCACGAAACGTGTAAGGGGTGTGCCGAAATGGGTGCGGTGCCGCTATGCGAACGCAGCCACTGGGACCCTCGGTGGAGCTCCCTGTGGGGCCACGAAACGTGTGAGGGGTGCGCAGAAATTGGTGCGGTGCCGCCATGCGAACGCAGCCATTGGGGCCTTCGGTGGAGCTCCCTATGGGGCCACGAACCGTGTGAGGGGTGTGCCGAAATGGGCGCGGTGCCGCCATGCGGACGCAGCCACTGGGGCCCTCGGTGGAGCTCCCTATGGGGCCAAGAAACGTGTGAGGGGTGTCCCGATCGGTGGAGCTCCCTATGGGGCCACGAAGCGTGTGAGGGGTGTGCCGAAATGGGCGCGGTGCCGCCATGCGAACGCAGCCATTGGAGCCCTCGGTGGAGCTCCCTATGAGGCCACGAAGCGTGTGAGGGGTGTGCCGAAATGGGTGCGGTGCCGCAGTGCGAACGCAGCCACTGGGGCCCTCGGTGGAGCTCCCTATGGGGCCACGAACCGGGTGAGGGGTGTGCCGACATGGGCGCGGTGCCGCCATGCGAACGCCGCCACTGGAGCCCTCGGTGGGGCCCCCTATGGGGTCACGAAACGTGTGAGGGGTGTGCCGAAATGGGCGTGGTGCCGCCATGCGAACGCAGCCACTCGGGCCCTCGGTGGAGTTCCTTCAGGGGCCACGAAACGTGTGAGGGGTGTACCGAAATGGGTGCGGTGCCGCCATGCGAACGCAGACACTTGGGCATTCGGTAGAGCTTCCTATGGGGCCACGAAACGTGTGAGGGGTGTGCCGAAATGGGCGCGGTACCGCCATGCGAACGCAGCCACTGGGGCCCTCGGTGGAGCTCCCTATGGGGCCACGAAACGTGTGAGGGGTGTGCCGAAATGGGCGCGGTGCCGCCATGCGAACGCAGCCACTGGGCCCTCGGTGGAGCTCCCTATGGGGCCACGAAACGTGTGAGGGGTGTGCCGAAATGGGTGCGGTGCCGCCATGCGAACGCAGCCACTAGGGCCTTCGGTGGAGCTCCCTATGGGGCCACGAAACGTGTGAGGGGTGTGCCGAAATGTGCGGTGCCGCCAGTGTCGCTCGTGGGGCCACGAATGTGAGGGGTGTGCCGAAATGTGCGGTGCCGCCATGCGAACGCAGCCACTGGGACCCTCGGTGGAGCTCCCTGTGGGGCCACGAAGCGTGTGAGGGGTGTGCCGAAATGGGTGCGGTGCCGCCATGCGAACGCAGCCACTGGGGCCCTCGGTGGAGCTCCCTATGGGGCCACGAAACGTGTGAGGGGTGTGCCGAAATGGGCGCGGTGCCGCCTTGCGAACGCAGCCACTGGAGCCCTCGGTGGAGCTCCTTATGGGGCCACGAAACGTGTGAGGGGTGTGCCGAAGTGGGTGTGGCTGACGCGGAGGGGGAGGAGGGAGGAGGGGGAGGAGGAAGGAAGGAGAGGAGACGCGGGGCACCGTCTCTTCAAAACGAGGACCCAACACCACAGGATGGTTGGGAAAAAGTATCCAGCGAACTTACCTGGCTATTGTTGGGCGGAGATCCAGCAGCTCGCTCTCATAGGGTCGAGCAGCTCACTGCACTCTGAGGCCTGCAACGCCTTAGGAGCCTTCGATGGAGTCATCCATAGCAGAATTTCTTGTGAGGTGGCCTGCTTGCGAGCGACTGCCAAAAATCAGTTCGGCGACTGCGAATCCGCGTCCGCCCGCGACCAAAAATTATCCTGGCGAAGGGCCCCACCATATGCAGTTGTGAGTACCGCAATTGTGAGTATCTTCTTCGGTGGCGCTCCCTATGGGGCCACGAACCGCATGAGGGGTGTGCCGGAATGTGGCGGGGTACACAACGCAAAGGAATACGATAGGTCTGATTACGAAAGAATGAACGCGGTTCCCTCAGAACACGCGCGCGCGCAAAGCGAACGTTCCAACGAACGCAAAACACAACCCCCAAAAAATGTCGCGATGGCCCTGTCCTTCTAAGCCACCGACCTACTGGCGACCGTCCGGTAGCGTATCCGCAAGGCGAACACCCCAACGAACCCCCGACAGCAATTTCAAAAAAATCGCGATGGTCTTGTCCTTCTACGCATTCGAAAACTCTCAACGAATTTCCATCCACCCCCGCGCTTTCCACCCCATCAGCCAACGTGCGACCCTCTGAACACGCGGGCGCAAAACGAACGCTCCAACGAGCGCGGAACACAATTTCAAAAATTTCGCGATGGTCCTGTCTTTCTGCGCCACCGACCCACGTGCGACCGCCCGATAGCGTATGCGCAAGGCGAGCACCCCAACGAGCCCCCAAAAACAATGTTAAAAGAAAACGCGATGGTATTGTCCTTATACGCACTCGAAAACTCTCAACGAATTTCCACCCACACCGAACCCCCCCCAAAAAAATTGCGTTAGTTGCCCCTTACAAGCTACAACCATCATACCCTTCCCCTCGGAGACTCCAAAGAACACCCAAAAACCATTTCAAATATTTCGCGATGGTCCTGTCCTTCTACGCACACCAAAAACTCATAGCGAATGTCAATCCGCCATCACCAATTCCTCCCCGCCAGCCAACGTGAAACCTTCTTATGGGGCCACGAACCGTGTGAGGGGTGTGCCGAACTGGGTGGGTGGGGGGGACGCATGTGGACGGTCGCATTGGGGCCTTCGGTGGAGCTCCCTATGGGGCCACGAAACGTGTGAGGGGTGTGCCGACATGGGTGCGGTGCCGCCATGCGAGCGCAGCCACTGGGGCCCTCGGTGGAGCTCCCTATGGGGCCACAGAACGTGTGAGAGGTGTGCCGAAATGGGTGCGGTGCCGCCATGCGAACGCAGCCACTGGGGCCTTCAGTGGAGCTCCCTATGGGGCCACGAAACGTGTGAGGGGTGTGCCGAAATTGGTGTGGTGCCGCCATGCGAACGCAGCCACTGGGGCCCTCGGTGGAGCTCCCTGTGGGGCCACGAAACGTGTGAGGGGTGTGCCGAAATTGGTGCGGTGCCGCCATGCGAACGCAGCCACTGGGGCCCTCAGTGGGGCTCCCTATGGGGCCGAGAAACGTGTGAGGGGTGCGCCGGAATGGGTGCGGTGCCGCCATGCGAACGCAGCCACTGGGGCCCTCAGTGGAGCTCCCTATGGGGCCGAGAAACGTGTGAGGGGTGTGCCGAAATTGGTGCGGTGCCGCCATGCGAACGCAGCCACTGGGGCCCTCAGTGGGGCTCCCTATGGGGCCGAGAAACGTGTGAGGGGTGTGCCGAAATTGGCGCGGTGCCGCCATGCGAGCGCAGCCACTGGGGCCCTCGGTGGAGCTCCCTATGGGGCCACGAAACGTGTGAGGGGTGTGCCGAAATGGGGCGCGGTGCCGCCATGCGAACGCAGCCACTGGGGCCCTCGGTGGAGCTCCCTGTGGGGCCACGAAACGTGTGAGGAGTGTGCCGAAATGGGTGCGGTGCCGCCATGCGAACGCAGCCACTGGGGCCCTCGGTGGAGCTCCCTGTGGGGCCACGAAACGTGTGAGGGGTGCGCCAAAATGGGTGCGGTGCCGCCATGCGAACGCAGCCACTGGGGCCCTCGGTGTGGCCCCCTGTGGGGCCGCGAAACGTGTGAGGGGTGTGCCGAAATGGATGCGGTGCCGCCATGTGAACGCAGCCACTGGGGCCCTCGGTGGAGCTCCCTATGGGGCCACGAAACGTGTGAGGGGTGTGCCGAAGTGGGTGGGGGTGACGCATGTGGACGGTGGCACTGGTGGTGATGATGACGAAGATGGTGATGATGATGATGACGATGATGACGATGATGGGAGGAGAGAGGAGGGCAGCGGGAGGTGAGGAGACGCGGGGCACTGTCTCTTCAAAACGAGGACCCAACACCACAGGATGGTTGGGAAAAAGTATCCCCACCAGCTCCGTAACCTGGCTCAAGCGTCTGGTCCACCGACGCCGACCGCGCGCGTGCGCGCGCGCGCCGATGTGGGCGGCGGGCGCGGCGCGCCGCAGCCCCCTGCACGCGGCGCTCTGCGTCGCGGCCCTCCTCCCGCCGAGCGCGGTCGGGCGGATCGGAAGCGCAGCACAGTCCTCCGCGCCCACGCCCGCTGGCGACCGCGACCCGTACCGGCGGTACGACGGTCTCGATGTCCTCCTGGTGGAGGCTTGCGGGCAGGGGCGGAGGGAGCTGCTCCTGAAAGAGCTCGAGGCAGGCTCGTGCACTCTGATCGGCGAGCCGAACAGGAACGGGACCTGCTGCACAGCGGCGGCCGTCTGCCCCGGGCCCCGGACCTTCCGCCACGGCGCCGCAAGGGTCCTCAGCAGCGACGCGGGGGCGCACCTGCGAAGCGCGGGCCTCCCGCGGGCCTGGCGGGGCGGCGCTCCGAGGGCCGAGTTCTACACGCAGTGGCGCGGCTACGAGGACATCCTGGCCAGGCTCGAGGAGGTCGTTGCCGCCGCGGGCGGTGTGGCAGTGCTGGAGCAGCTCCAGCCAGCCACCCATGAGGGCCGCCTCGTCCGCGCGGTGCGCATCCGCGACGCCGCGTGGGTGCCGGGGGCGCCCAGGATTGTGATCAACTCCTTGCTGCACGCCCGCGAGTGGATGGCTTCGATGGTTGGCACGTACCTAGCGGAATACAGCGTTGCCAAGAAGGCGAGTGACCCGAGTTGGCTGGCAGGGATGGAGTTGGTCATCGTGCCCATTTCGAACCCCGACGGCTTCGTCTACTCGCAATCATTCGATTCTCTGTGGCGGAAGAACAGGGCAGAGAACAGCGGCTCTACGTGCCGAGGCGTTGACCTCAACCGCAACTGGGCCAAGGACTGGAACGGCGGCGAGTCAACGAGCACGTGGCCGTGCTCAGACACCTACGTGGGTCCCTCGGCAAGCTCGGAGCCCGAGACGCTGGCGCTGGGCGCCCTGCTGGCAGAGGCTCCTGTGGACCTCCACCTGGATGTCCACTCGTACGGAGAGATGATTTTGGGGCCGTGGTCTTACACAAACAGCGACCATGCCGACAAGGACGTGGTCGATGCCATCGGAATGACGATGCACGACGCCATCATGAGCGTCAACGGTAAGTCGTACCTCTACGGCACGGGGGACGCGGGCGGAGCGCTCTACCTCGCCTCTGGCGTGATGCCGGACCTCTCCACGGACTTGGGTGCCTACGGCTACACTATCGAGTTGCCGCCCGCCAACGCCTGGGGCTCCGCTGGGTTCCAGCCGTCCACCTCCGAGATCCTTCCGGCGTGCACCGAAATCTTCGAGGCCCTCAACGCGATGGTGGCGTGGTTTGAGGCGAGGGGCCCCACGCCGGCCCCTCTGCCCACTGCGGCGCCCCCTCCGACGGCCTCACCGCCGCCGACGCCGGCTCCTCAGCACATGTGGGCGGCCATCACGGGCCCGTGCACGCTGGACGGCTCTTGCGTGCAGAGCCCGAACTACCCGCAGGACTACAACAGTGACGAGGCGTGCGCCTTGGAGGTCGACCTGGTGATGGCGGCGCCGATCGTGGTGGAGAGCTTCGACACGGAGTCGTATTTCGACACGCTCACGGTCAATGGGCTGGCTTATTCTGGTTCTGTCGGCCCGAGCGGGATCACCCCGACGGCGGACATCTTCTGGTCCTCCGACTTCGTCATTGTCAGCAGTGGCTGGAGGCTGTGCCAGGGTGTGGCGCCCACGCCAGCGCCACCAACTCCGGCACCCGCTCCGACTCCAGCGCCGCCTCCAACGCCTGCGCCGCCGCCGACGCCAGCGCCCGTGTGTGGAGCAAAGGGTCCCGACGACACCCCTTGGGACACGCGCAGCGAGCGCATCGTGGGGGGCCAGGACGCCACGCCGTGCGAGTGGAAGTGGCAGGTATCCCTGCAGACGTTCTCGGGCTTTCCCTTCTGCGGCGGCACGCTCATCGCCGAGAAATGGGTCATGACAGCCGCCCATTGCATGGGTAGCACTTTCAAGGTGGTGGCGGGCCTCCACAGCCAATCCACAACAGATTCGACCCAGGTGGATCTGCAGGTGCACCAAGTGCATTCGCATCCATGGTATAGCTCCTCGACGTCTTCTCACGATTTCGCCTTGGTGGAGTTGGTGGAGGCAGCACCCTTGAACGACTGTATCGGCCCAGCCTGCTTGCCAAGCGAGGGCATCGCTGACGGTGAGGAGTGCGTCATCACTGGCTGGGGGACCCTCTCCTCTGGAGGGTCCTCCCCCGACCTGCTGCAGGAGGCGCATGTGAAGATCGTGAGCAACTCGGACTGCGGCGCTGCGTACGGCAGTGGGATGATCACCGACGACATGTTGTGCGCGCAGGGCGTCAACAGCGCCGGGCAAGTCACCGACGCCTGCCAAGGGGACAGCGGAGGGCCGCTGGTGTGCGCTTCTGGCGGTGCTGCTTACGTGCTTCACGGAGCCACGTCGTGGGGCTACGGGTGTGCCATGCAGTCGTACCCGGGAGTTTGGTCTCGAGTTAGCTACGTACGTGACTGGATCGATGAAGTGATGGGGACGACGCAGCCCCCGACGCCAGCGCCTCCACCAACTTCGGCTCCCCCGGCGACGCCTGCCCCGCCGCCGACGCCAGCTTCTCAGCACATGTGGGCGGCAGTCACGGGACCGTGCACGCTCGATGGCTCTTGCGTGCAGAGCCCCAACTACCCGCAGGACTACAACAACGGTGAGGCGTGCGCCTTGGAGGTCGACCTGGTGATGGCGGCGCCGATCGTGGTGGAGAGCTTCGACACGGAGTCGTATTTCGACACGCTCACGGTCAATGGGCTGGCTTATTCTGGTTCTGTCGGCCCGAGCGGGATCACCCCGACGGCGGACATCTTCTGGTCCTCCGACTTCGTCATTGTCAGCAGTGGCTGGAGGCTGTGCCAGGGTGTGGCGCCCACGCCAGCGCCACCAACTCCGGCACCCGCTCCGACTCCAGCGCCGCCTCCAACGCCTGCGCCGCCGCCGACGCCAGCGCCCGTGTGTGGAGCAAAGGGTCCCGACGACACCCCTTGGGACACGCGCAGCGAGCGCATCGTGGGGGGCCAGGACGCCACGCCGTGCGAGTGGAAGTGGCAGGTATCCCTGCAGACGTTGTCGGGCTTTCCCTTCTGCGGCGGCACGCTCATCGCCGAGAAATGGGTCATGACAGCCGCCCATTGCATGGGTAGCACTTTCAAGGTGGTGGCGGGCCTCCACAGCCAATCCACAACAGACTCGACCCAGGTGGATCTGCAGGTGCACCAAGTACATTCGCATCCATGGTATAGCTCCTCGGCATCTTCTTACGATTTCGCTTTGGTGGAGTTGGTAGAGGCAGCACCCTTGAACGACTGTATCGGCCCAGCATGTTTGCCAAGCGAGGACATCGATGACGGTGAGGAGTGCATCATCACTGGCTGGGGGACCCTCTCCTCTGGAGGGTCCTCCCCTGACCTGCTGCAGGAGGCGCATGTGAAGATCGTGAGCAACTCGGACTGCGGCGCTGCGTACGGCAGTGGGATGATCACCGACGACATGTTGTGCGCACAGGGCGTCAACAGCGCCGGGCAAGTCACCGACGCCTGCCAAGGGGACAGCGGAGGGCCGCTGGTGTGCGCTTCTGGCGGTGCTGCTTACGTGCTTCACGGAGCCACGTCGTGGGGCTACGGGTGTGCCATGCAGTCGTACCCGGGAGTTTGGTCTCGAGTTAGCTACGTACGTAATTGGATCGACGAAGTGATGGGGATGACGCAGTCCCCGACGCCAGCGCCTCCGCCAACTTGGGCTCCCCCTGCGACGCCTGCCCCGCCGCCGACGCCAGCTCCTCAGCACATGTGGGCGGCAGTCACGGGACCGTGCACTCTGGACGGCACGTGTGTCCAGAGCCCCAACTACCCGCAGGACTACAACAACGATGAGGTGTGCGTCCTGGAGGTCGACTTGGGGATGGCAGCTCCGATCGTGGTGGAGAGTTTCGACACGGAGTCGTATTTCGACACGCTCACGGTCAATGGGCTGGCTTATTCTGGTTCTGTCGGTCCCAGCGGGATCACCCCGACAGCGGACATCTTCTGGTCCTCCGACTTCAGTGTCGTCAGCAGCGGCTGGAGGTTGTGTCAGGGTGTGGCGCCCACGCCAGCGCCACCAACTCCGGCGCCCCCTCCGACTCCAGCGCCACCGCCAACGCTTGCGCCGCCGCCAACGCCAGCGCCCATGTGTGGAGCAAAGGGTCCCGACGACACCCCCTGGGATACTCGCAGCGAGCGCATTGTGGGGGGCCAGGACGCCACGCCGTGCGAGTGGAAGTGGCAGGTCTCTCTGCAGACGTTCTCGGGCTTTCCCTTCTGCGGCGGCACGCTCATCGCCGAGAAATGGGTCATGACAGCCGCCCATTGCATGGGTAGCACTTTCAAGGTGGTGGCGGGCCTCCACAGCCAATCCACAACAGACTCGACACAGGTGGATCTGCAGGTGCACCAAGTACATTCGCATCCATGGTATAGCTCCTCGGCATCTTCTTACGATTTCGCTTTGGTGGAGTTGGTGGAGGCTGCGCCCTTGAACGACTGTATCGGCTCAGCATGTTTGCCAAGCGAGGACATCGATGACGGTGAGGAGTGCATCATCACTGGCTGGGGGACCCTCTCCTCTGGAGGGTCCTCCCCTGACCTGCTGCAGGAGGCGCATGTGAAGATCGTGAGCAACTCGGACTGCGGCGCTGCGTACGGCAGTGGGATGATCACCGACGACATGTTGTGCGCACAGGGCGTCAACAGCGCCGGGCAAGTCACCGACGCCTGCCAAGGGGACAGCGGAGGGCCGCTGGTGTGCGCTTCTGGCGGTGCTGCTTACGTCCTTCACGGGGCCACGTCGTGGGGCTACGGGTGTGCCATGCAGTCGTACCCGGGAGTTTGGTCTCGAGTTAGCTACGTACGTGACTGGATCGACGAAGTGATGGGGATGACGCAGTCCCCGACGCCAGTGCCGCCGCCAACTTGGGCTCCCCCTGCGACGCCTGCCCCGCCGCCGACGCCAGCTCCTCAGCACATGTGGGCGGCAGTCACGGGACCGTGCACTCTGGACGGCACGTGTGCCCAGAGCCCCAACTACCCGCAGGACTACAACAACGATGAGGTGTGCGTCCTGGAGGTCGACTTGGGGATGGCAGCTCCGATCGTGGTGGAGAGTTTCGACACGGAGTCGTATTTCGACACGCTCACGGTCAATGGGCTGGCTTATTCTGGTTCTGTCCGTCCCAGCGGGATCACCCCGACAGCGGACATCTTCTGGTCCTCCGACTTCAGTGTCGTCAGCAGCGGCTGGAGGTTGTGTCAGGGTGTGGCGCCCACGCCAGCGCCACCAACTCCGGCGCCCCCTCCAACTCCAGCGCCACCTCCAACGCCTGCGCCGCCGCCGACGCCAGCGCCCATGTGTGGAGCAAAGGGTCCCGACGACACCCCCTGGGATACGCGCAGCGAGCGCATTGTGGGGGGCCAGGACGCCACGCCGTGCGAGTGGAAGTGGCAGGTCTCTCTGCAGACGTTGTCGGGCTTTCCCTTCTGCGGCGGCACGCTCATCGCCGAGAAATGGGTCATGACAGCCGCCCATTGCATGGGTAGCACTTTCAAGGTGGTGGCGGGCCTCCACAGCCAATCCACAACAGACTCGACACAGGTGGATCTGCAGGTGCACCAAGTACATTCACATCCATGGTATAGCTCCTCGGCATCTTCTTACGATTTCTCTTTGGTGGAGTTGGTGGAGGCAGCACCCTTGAACGACTGTATCGGCTCAGCATGTTTGCCAAGCGAGGACATCGATGACGGTGAGGAGTGCATCATCACTGGCTGGGGGACCCTCTCCTCTGGAGGGTCCTCCCCTGACCTGCTGCAGGAGGCGCATGTGAAGATCGTGAGCAACTCGGACTGCGGCGCTGCGTACGGCAGTGGGATGATCACCGACGACATGTTGTGCGCGCAGGGCGTCAACAGCGCCGGGCAAGTCACCGACGCCTGCCAAGGGGACAGCGGAGGGCCGCTGGTGTGCGCTTCTGGCGGTGCTGCTTACGTCCTTCACGGAGCCACGTCGTGGGGCTACGGGTGTGCCATGCAGTCGTACCCGGGAGTTTGGTCTCGAGTTAGCTACGTACGTGACTGGATCGATGAAGTGATGGGGACGACGCAGCCCCCGACGCCAGCGCCTCCACCAACTTCGGCTCCCCCTGCGACGCCTGCCCCGCCGCCGACGCCAGCTCCTCAGCACATGTGGGCGGCAGTCACGGGACCGTGCACGCTCGATGGCTCTTGCGTGCAGAGCCCCAACTACCCGCAGGACTACAACAACGATGAGGTGTGCGTCCTGGAGGTCGACTTGGGGATGGCGGCGCCGATCATGGTGGAGAGCTTCGACACGGAGTCGTATTTCGACACGCTCACGGTCAATGGGCTGGCTTATTCTGGTTCTGTCGGCCCGAGCGGGATCACCCCGACGGCGGACATCTTCTGGTCCTCCGACTTCGTCATTGTCAGCAGTGGCTGGAGGCTGTGCCAGGGTGTGGCGCCCACGCCAGCGCCACCAACTCCGGCACCCGCTCCGACTCCAGCGCCGCCTCCAACGCCTGCGCCGCCGCCGACGCCAGCGCCCGTGTGTGGAGCAAAGGGTCCCGACGACACCCCTTGGGACACGCGCAGCGAGCGCATCGTGGGGGGCCAGGACGCCACGCCGTGCGAGTGGAAGTGGCAGGTATCCCTGCAGACGTTGTCGGGATTTCCCTTCTGCGGCGGCACGCTCATCGCCGAGAAATGGGTCATGACAGCCGCCCATTGCATGGGTAGCACTTTCAAGGTGGTGGCGGGCCTCCACAGCCAATCCACAACAGATTCGACCCAGGTGGATCTGCAGGTGCACAAAGTGCATTCGCACCCGTTTTATAGCTCCTCAACGTCTTCTCACGATTTCGCCTTGGTGGAGTTGGTGGAGGCAGCACCCTTGAACGACTGTATCGGCCCAGCCTGCTTGCCAAGCGAGCGCATCGCTGACGGTGAGGAGTGCATCATCACTGGCTGGGGGACCCTCTCCTCCGGAGGGTCCTCCCCCGACTTGCTGCAGGAGGCGCATGTGAAGATCGTGAGCAACTCGGACTGCGGCTCTGCGTACGGCAGTGGGATGATCACCGACGACATGTTGTGCGCGCAGGGCGTCAACAGCGCCGGGCAAGTCACCGACGCCTGCCAAGGGGACAGCGGAGGGCCGCTGGTGTGCGCTTCTGGCGGTGCTGCTTACGTCCTTCACGGGGCCACGTCGTGGGGCTATGGGTGTGCCATGCAGTCGTACCCGGGAGTTTGGTCTCGAGTTAGCTACGTACGTGACTGGATCGATGAAGTGATGGGGATGACGCAGCCCCCGACGCCAGCGCCTCCACCAACTTCGGCTTCCCCTGCGACGCCTGCCCCGCCGCCGACGCCAGCTTCTCAGCACATGTGGGCGGCAGTCACGGGACCGTGCACGCTCGATGGCTCTTGCGTACAGAGCCCCAACTACCCGCAGGACTACAACAACGGTGAGGCGTGCGCCTTGGAGATCGACTTGGGGATGGCAGTGCCGATCGTGGTGGAGAGCTTCGACACAGAAACATACTTCGACACGCTCACGGTCAACGGGCTGACTTATTCTGGTTCTGTCGGTCCGAGCGGGATCACCCCGACGGCGGACATCTTCTGGTCCTCCGACTTCGTCATTGTCAGCAGTGGCTGGAGGCTGTGCCAGGGTGTGGCGCCCACGCCAGCGCCACCAACTCCGGCACCCGCTCCGACTCCAGCGCCGCCTCCAACGCCTGCGCCGCCGCCGAGGCCAGCGCCCGTGTGTGGAGCAAAGGGTCCCGACAACACCCCTTGGGACACGCGCAGCGAGCGCATCGTGGGGGGCCAGGACGCCACGCCGTGCGAGTGGAAGTGGCAGGTATCCCTGCAGACGTTGTCGGGCTTTCCCTTCTGCGGCGGCACGCTCATCGCCGAGAAATGGGTCATGACAGCCGCCCATTGCATGGGTAGCACTTTCAAGGTGGTGGCGGGCCTCCACAGCCAATCCACAACAGACTCGACCCAGGTGGATCTGCAGGTGCACCAAGTACATTCGCATCCATGGTATAGCTCCTCGGCATCTTCTTACGATTTCGCTTTGGTGGAGTTGGTGGAGGCACCCTTGAACGACTGTATCGGCTCAGCATGTTTGCCAAGCGAGGACATCGATGACGGTGAGGAGTGCATCATCACTGGCTGGGGGACCCTCTCCTCTGGAGGGTCCTCCCCAGACCTGCTGCAGGAGGCGCATGTGAAGATCGTGAGCAACTCGGACTGCGGCGCTGCGTACGGCAGTGGGATGATCACCGACGACATGTTGTGCGCACAGGGCGTCAACAGCGCCGGGCAAGTCACCGACGCCTGCCAAGGGGACAGCGGAGGGCCGCTGGTGTGCGCTTCTGGCGGTGCTGCTTACGTGCTTCACGGAGCCACGTCGTGGGGCTACGGGTGTGCCATGCAGTCGTACCCGGGAGTTTGGTCTCGAGTTAGCTACGTACGTAATTGGATCGACGAAGTGATGGGGATGACGCAGTCCCCGACGCCAGTGCCTCCGCCAACTTGGGCTCCCCCTGCGACGCCTGCCCCGCCGCCGACGCCAGCTCCTCAGCACATGTGGGCGGCAGTCACGGGACCGTGCACTCTGGACGGCACGTGTGTCCAGAGCCCCAACTACCCGCAGGACTACAACAACGATGAGGCGTGCGTCTTGGAGGTCGACTTGGGGATGGCAGCTCCGATCGTGGTGGAGAGTTTCGACACGGAGTCGTATTTCGACACGCTCACGGTCAATGGGCTGGCTTATTCTGGTTCTGTCGGCCCCAGCGGGATCACCCCGACAGCGGACATCTTCTGGTCCTCCGACTTCAGTGTCGTCAGCAGCGGCTGGAGGCTGTGCCAGGGTGTAGCGCCCACGCCAGCGCCACCAACTCCGGCGCCCCCTCCGACTCCAGCGCCACCTCCAACGCCTGCGCCGCCACCGACGCCAGCGCCCATGTGTGGAGCAAAGGGTCCCGACGACACCCCTTGGGACACGCGCAGCGAGCGCATTGTGGGGGGCCAGGACGCCACGCCGTGCGAGTGGAAGTGGCAGGTCTCCCTGCAGACGTTGTCGGGCTTTCCCTTCTGCGGCGGCACGCTCATCGCCGAGAAATGGGTCATGACAGCCGCCCACTGCATGGGTAGCACTTTCAAGGTGGTGGCGGGCCTCCACAGCCGATCCACAACAGACTCGACACAGGTGGATCTGCAGGTGCACCAAGTACATTCGCATCCATGGTATAGCTCCTCGGCATCTTCTTACGATTTCGCTTTGGTGGAGTTGGTGGAGGCAGCACCCTTGAACGACTGTATCGGCTCAGCATGTTTGCCAAGCGAGGACATCGATGACGGTGAGGAGTGCATCATCACTGGCTGGGGGACCCTCTCCTCTGGAGGGTCCTCCCCTGACCTGCTGCAGGAGGCGCATGTGAAGATCGTGAGCAACTCGGACTGCAGCGCTGCGTACGGCAGTGGGATGATCACCGACGACATGTTGTGCGCACAGGGCGTCAACAGCGCCGGGCAAGTCACCGACGCCTGCCAAGGGGACAGCGGAGGGCCGCTGGTGTGCGCTTCTGGCGGTGCTGCTTACGTCCTTCACGGAGCCACGTCGTGGGGCTACGGGTGTGCCATGCAGTCGTACCCGGGAGTTTGGTCTCGAGTTAGCTACGTACGTAATTGGATCGACGAAGTGATGGGGATGACGCAGTCCCCGACGCCAGTGCCTCCGCCAACTTGGGCTCCCCCTGCGACGCCTGCCCCGCCGCCGACGCCAGCTCCTCAGCACATGTGGGCGGCAGTCACGGGACCGTGCACTCTGGACGGCACGTGTGTCCAGAGCCCCAACTACCCGCAGGACTACAACAACGATGAGGCGTGCGTCATGGAGGTCGACTTGGGGATGGCAGCTCCGATCGTGGTGGAGAGTTTCGACACGGAGTCGTATTTCGACACGCTCACGGTCAATGGGCTGGCTTATTCTGGTTCTGTCGGTCCCAGCGGGATCACCCCGACAGCGGACATCTTCTGGTCCTCCGACTTCAGTGTCGTCAGCAGCGGCTGGAGGTTGTGTCAGGGTGTGGCGCCCACGCCAGCGCCACCAACTCCGGCGCCCCCTCCGACTCCAGCGCCACCTCCAACGCCTGCGCCGCCGCCGACGCCAGCGCCCATGTGTGGAGCAAAGGGTCCCGACGCCACCCCCTGGGATACGCGCAGCGAGCGCATTGTGGGGGGCCAGGACGCCACGCCGTGCGAGTGGAAGTGGCAGGTCTCTCTGCAGACGTTGTCGGGCTTTCCCTTCTGCGGCGGCACGCTCATCGCCGAGAAATGGGTCATGACAGCCGCCCATTGCATGGGTAGCACTTTCAAGGTGGTGGCGGGCCTCCACAGCCAATCCACAACAGATTCGACACAGGTGGATCTGCAGGTGCACCAAGTACATTCACATCCATGGTATAGCTCCTCGGCATCTTCTTACGATTTCGCTTTGGTGGAGTTGGTGGAGGCAGCACCCTTGAATGACTGTATCGGCTCAGCATGTTTGCCAAGCGAGGACATCGATGACGGTGAGGAGTGCATCATCACTGGCTGGGGGACCCTCTCCTCTGGAGGGTCCTCCCCTGACCTGCTGCAGGAGGCGCATGTGAAGATCGTGAGCAACTCGGACTGCGGCGCTGCGTACGGCAGTGGGATGATCACCGACGACATGTTGTGCGCGCAGGGCGTCAACAGCGCCGGGCAAGTCACCGACGCCTGCCAAGGGGACAGCGGAGGGCCGCTGGTGTGCGCTTCTGGCGGTGCTGCTTACGTCCTTCACGGGGCCACGTCGTGGGGCTATGGGTGTGCCATGCAGTCGTACCCGGGAGTTTGGTCTCGAGTTAGCTACGTACGTGACTGGATCGACGAAGTGATGGGGACGACGCAGCCCCCGACGCCAGCGCCTCCACCAACTTCGGCTCCCCCTGCGACGCCTGCCCCGCCGCCGACGCCAGCTTCTCAGCACATGTGGGCGGCAGTCACGGGACCGTGCACGCTCGATGGCTCTTGCGTGCAGAGCCCCAACTACCCGCAGGACTACAACAACGGTGAGGCGTGCGCCTTGGAGGTCGACTTGGGGATGGCGGCGCCGATCGTGGTGGAGAGCTTCGACACGGAGTCGTATTTCGACACGCTCACGGTCAATGGGCTGGCTTATTCTGGTTCTGTCGGCCCGAGCGGGATCACCCCGACGGCGGACATCTTCTGGTCCTCCGACTTCGTCATTGTCAGCAGTGGCTGGAGGCTGTGCCAGGGTGTGGCGCCCACGCCAGCGCCACCAACTCCGGCACCCGCTCCGACTCCAGCGCCGCCTCCAACGCCTGCGCCGCCGCCGACGCCAGCGCCCGTGTGTGGAGCAAAGGGTCCCGACGACACCCCTTGGGACACGCGCAGCGAGCGCATCGTGGGGGGCCAGGACGCCACGCCGTGCGAGTGGAAGTGGCAGGTATCCCTGCAGACGTTGTCGGGATTTCCCTTCTGCGGCGGCACGCTCATCGCCGAGAAATGGGTCATGACAGCCGCCCATTGCATGGGTAGCACTTTCAAGGTGGTGGCGGGCCTCCACAGCCAATCCACAACAGATTCGACCCAGGTGGATCTGCAGGTGCACAAAGTGCATTCGCATCCATGGTATAGCTCCTCAACGTCTTCTCACGATTTCGCCTTGGTGGAGTTGCTGGAGGCAGCACCCTTGAATGACTGTATCGGCTCAGCATGTTTGCCAAGCGAGGACATCGATGACGGTGAGGAGTGCATCATCACTGGCTGGGGGACCCTCTCCTCCGGAGGGTCCTCCCCCGACTTGCTGCAGGAGGCGCATGTGAAGATCGTGAGCAACTCGGACTGCGGCGCTGCGTACGGCAGTGGGATGATCACCGACGACATGTTGTGCGCGCAGGGCGTCAACAGCGCCGGGCAAGTCACCGACGCCTGCCAAGGGGACAGCGGAGGGCCGCTGGTGTGCGCTTCTGGCGGTGCTGCTTACGTCCTTCACGGGGCCACGTCGTGGGGCTATGGGTGTGCCATGCAGTCGTACCCGGGAGTTTGGTCTCGAGTTAGCTACGTACGTGACTGGATCGATGAAGTGATGGGGACGACGCAGCCCCCGACGCCAGCGCCTCCACCAACTTCGGCTCCCCCTGCGACGCCTGCCCCGCCGCCGACGCCAGCTTCTCAGCACATGTGGGCGGCAGTCACGGGACCGTGCACGCTCGATGGCTCTTGCGTGCAGAGCCCCAACTACCCGCAGGACTACAACAACGGTGAGGCGTGCGCCTTGGAGGTCGACTTGGGGATGGCGGCGCCGATCGTGGTGGAGAGCTTCGACACGGAGTCGTATTTCGACACGCTCACGGTCAATGGGCTGGCTTATTCTGGTTCTGTTGGCCCGAGCGGGATCACCCCGACGGCGGACATCTTCTGGTCCTCCGACTTCGTCATTGTCAGCAGTGGCTGGAGGCTGTGCCAGGGTGTGGCGCCCACGCCAGCGCCACCAACTCCGGCACCCGCTCCGACTCCAGCGCCGCCTCCAACGCCTGCGCCGCCGCCGACGCCAGCGCCAGTGTGTGGAGCAAAGGGTCCCGACGACACCCCTTGGGACACGCGCAGCGAGCGCATCGTGGGGGGCCAGGACGCCACGCCGTGCGAGTGGAAGTGGCAGGTCTCCCTGCAGACGTCCTCGGGCTTTCACTTCTGCGGCGGCACGCTCATCGCCGAGAAATGGGTCATGACAGCCGCCCATTGCATGGGTAGCACTTTCAAGGTGGTGGCGGGCCTCCACAGCCAATCCGCAGCGGACTCGACCCAGGTGGATCTGCAGGTGCATCAAGTGCATTCGCACCCGTTTTATAGCTCTTCTGGATTTGCCTGGGACTTCGCCCTTTTGGAACTGGCCGAGGCTGCGCCCTTGGATAACTGCATCGGCGTGGCGTGCTTGCCGAGCGAGGACGTCACTGGTGGCGAAGAGTGCTTCACCACAGGCTGGGGGAGGACATTCTACGAAGGCCCCACCCCAGACTTGTTGCAGGAGGCGGCTGTGACAATAATCAGCAGCTCGGAGTGCGACGCAGCCTTAACCAGCTCGAGCGTTACGTTCACCGACGACATGTTGTGCGCGCAGGGCGTCAACAGCGCCGGTCAGGTTACCAGCGGCTGCCAAGGAGACAGCGGAGGGCCGCTGGTCTGTGCCTCTGGCAGTGGGGCTTACATCCTTCACGGTGCTACTTCGTGGGGCTACGAGTGCGGCTTACCAGAGTACCCGACAGTCTGGGCTCGGGTTAACCACGTACGTGATTGGATCGACGAAGTGATGGGGATGACGCAGTCCCCGACTCCAGCGCCTCCGCCAACTTCGGCCCCCCCAGCGACGCCCGCCCCGCCGCCGACGCCAGCTCCTCAGCACATGTGGGCGGCCATCACAGGACCGTGCACGCTGGATGGCTCATGCGTGCAGAGCCCCAACTACCCGCAGGACTACAACAACGGTGAGGCGTGCGCCTTGGAGGTCGACCTGGTGATGGCGGCGCCGATCGTGGTGGAGAGCTTCGACACGGAGTCGTATTTCGACACGCTCACGGTCAACGGGCTGACTTATTCTGGTTCTGTCGGCCCCAGCGGGATCACCCCGACGGCGGACATCTTCTGGTCCTCCGACTTCGTCATTGTCAGCAGTGGCTGGAGGCTGTGCCAGGGTGTGGCGCCCACGCCAGCGCCACCAACTCCGGCACCCGCTCCGACTCCAGCGCCACTTCCAACGCCTGCGCCGCCACCGACGCCAGCGCCCATGTGTGGAGCAAAGGGTCCCGACGACACCCCCTGGGATGCGCGCAGCGAGCGCATTGTGGGGGGCCAGGACGCCACGCCGTGCGAGTGGAAGTGGCAGGTCTCTCTGCAGACGTTGTCGGGCTTTCCCTTCTGCGGCGGCACGCTCATCGCCGAGAAATGGGTCATGACAGCCGCCCACTGCATGGGTAGCACTTTCAAGGTGGTGGCGGGCCTCCACAGCCGATCCACAACAGACTCGACACAGGTGGATCTGCAGGTGCACCAAGTACATTCGCATCCATGGTATAGCTCCTCGGCATCTTCTTACGATTTCGCTTTGGTGGAGTTGGTGGAGGCAGCACTATTGAACGACTGTATCGGCTCAGCATGTTTGCCAAGCGAGGACATCGATGACGGTGAGGAGTGCATCATCACTGGCTGGGGGACCCTCTCCTCTGGAGGGTCCTCCCCTGACCTGCTGCAGGAGGCGCATGTGAAGATCGTGAGCAACTCGGACTGCGGCGCTGCGTACGGCATTGGTATGATCACCGACGACATGTTGTGCGCACAGGGCGTCAACAGCGCCGGGCAAGTCACCGACGCCTGCCAAGGGGACAGCGGAGGGCCGCTGGTGTGCGCTTCTGGCGGTGCTGCTTACGTCCTTCACGGAGCCACGTCGTGGGGCTACGGGTGTGCCATGCAATCGTACCCGGGAGTTTGGTCTCGAGTTAGCTACGTACGTAATTGGATCGACGAAGTGATGGGGATGACGCAGTCCCCGACGCCAGTGCCTCCGCCAACTTGGGCTCCCCCTGCGACGCCTGCCCCGCCGCCGACGCCAGCTCCTCAGCACATGTGGGCGGCAGTCACGGGACCGTGCACTCTGGACGGCACGTGTGTCCAGAGCCCCAACTACCCGCAGGACTACAACAACGATGAGGCGTGCGTCTTGGAGGTCGACTTGGGGATGGCAGCTCCGATCGTGGTGGAGAGCTTCGACACGGAGTCGTATTTCGACACGCTCACGGTCAATGGGCTGGCTTATTCCGGTTCTGTCGGTCCCAGCGGGATCACCCCGACAGCGGACATCTTCTGGTCCTCCGACTTCAGTGTCGTCAGCAGCGGCTGGAGGCTGTGCCAGGGTGTGGCGCCCACGCCAGCGCCACCAACTCCGGCGCCCCCTCCGACTCCAGCGCCACCTCCAACGCCTGCGCCGCCGCCGACGCCAGCGCCCATGTGTGGAGCAAAGGGTCCCGACGACACCCCTTGGGACACGCGCAGCGAGCGCATCGTGGGGGGCCAGGACGCCACGCCGTGCGAGTGGAAGTGGCAGGTCTCTCTGCAGACGTTGTCGGGCTTTCCCTTCTGCGGCGGCACGCTCATCGCCGAGAAATGGGTCATGACAGCCGCCCACTGCATGGGTAGCACTTTCAAGGTGGTGGCGGGCCTCCACAGCCAATCCACAACAGACTCGACACAGGTGGATCTGCAGGTGCACCAAGTACATTCGCATCCATGGTATAGCTCCTCGGCATCTTCTTACGATTTCGCTTTGGTGGAGTTGGTCGAGGCTGCGCCCTTGAACGACTGTATCGGCTCAGCATGTTTGCCAAGCGAGGACATCGATGACGGTGAGGAGTGCATCATCACTGGCTGGGGGACCCTCTCCTCTGGAGGGTCCTCCCCTGACCTGCTGCAGGAGGCGCATGTGAAGATCGTGAGCAACTCGGACTGCGGTTCTGCGTACGGCAGTGGGATGATCACCGACGACATGTTGTGCGCGCAGGGCGTCAACAGCGCCGGGCAAGTCACCGACGCCTGCCAAGGGGACAGCGGAGGGCCGCTGGTGTGCGCTTCTGGCGGTGCTGCTTACGTCCTTCACGGGGCCACGTCGTGGGGCTATGGGTGTGCCATGGAACAGTACCCAGGAGTTTGGTCTCGAGTTAGCTACGTACGTGATTGGATCAACGAAGTGATGGGGATGACGCAGCCCCCGACGCCAGCGCCTCCGCCAACTTCGGCCCCCCCAGCGACGCCCGCCCCGCCGCCGACGCCAGCTCCTCAGCACATGTGGGCGGCCATCACAGGACCGTGCACTCTGGATGGCTCTTGCGTGCAGAGCCCCAACTACCCGCAGGACTACAACAACGGTGAGGCCTGCGCCTTGGAGGTCGACTTGGGGATGGCGGCGCCGATCGTGGTGGAGAGCTTCAGCACAGAATCATACTTCGACACGCTCACAGTCAACGGGCTGGTTTATTCTGGGTCTGTCGGCCCGAGCGGGATCACCCCGACGGCGGACATCTTCTGGTCCTCCGACTTCGTCATTGTCAGCGGTGGTTGGAGGCTGTGCCAGGGTGTGGCGCCGTCGCCAGCACCACCAACTCCGGCGCCCCCTCCGACTCCAGCGCCACCTCCAACGCCTGCGCCGCCGCCGACGCCAGCGCCCGTGTGTGGAGCAAAGGGTCCCAACGACACCCCCTGGAAGACGGGCAGCGAGCGCATCGTGGGGGGCCAGGACGCCACGCCGTGCGAGTGGAAGTGGCAGGTCTCCCTGCAGACGTTGTCGGGCTTTCCCTTCTGCGGCGGCACGCTCATCGCCGAGAAATGGGTCATGACAGCCGCCCACTGCATGGGTAGCACTTTCAAGGTGGTGGCGGGCCTCCACAGCCAATCTACAACAGACTCGACACAGGTGGATCTGCAGGTGCACCAAGTGCACTCGCATCCATGGTATAGCTCCTCGGCGTCTTCTTACGATTTCGCTTTGGTGGAGTTGGTCGAGGCTGCGCCCTTGAACGACTGCATCGGCCCAGCCTGCTTGCCAAGCGAGGACATCGCTGACGGTGAGGAGTGCATCATCACTGGCTGGGGGACCCTCTCCTCTGGAGGGTCCTCCCCTGACCTGCTGCAGGAGGCGCATGTGAAGATCGTGAGCAACTCGGACTGCGGCTCTGCGTACGGTAGTGGGATGATCACCGACGACATGTTGTGCGCGCAGGGCGTCAACAGCGCCGGGCAAGTCACCGACGCCTGCCAAGGGGACAGCGGGGGGCCGCTGGTGTGCGCTTCTGGCGGTGCTGCTTACGTCCTTCACGGGGCCACGTCGTGGGGCTATGGGTGTGCCATGGAACAGTACCCAGGAGTTTGGTCTCGAGTCAGCTACGTACGTGATTGGATCGACGAAGTGATGGGGATGACGCAGCCCCCGACGCCAGCGCCTCCACCAACTTCGGCCCCCCCAGCGACGCCCGCCCCGCCGCCGACGCCAGCTTCTCAGCACATGTGGGCGGCCATCACAGGACCGTGCACTCTGGATGGCTCTTGCGTGCAGAGCCCCAACTACCCGCAGGACTACAACAATGGTGAGGCGTGCGCCTTGGAGGTCGACTTGGGGATGGCAGCGCCGATCGTGGTGGAGAGCTTCGACACGGAGTCATACTTCGACACTCTCACGGTCAACGGGCTGACTTATTCTGGTTCTGTCGGCCCGAGCGGGATCACCCCGACGGCGGACATCTTCTGGTCCTCCGACTTCGTCATTGTCAGCGGTGGCTGGAGGCTGTGCCAGGGTGTGGCGCCCACGCCAGCGCCACCAACTCTGGCACCCCCTCCGACTCCAGCGCCACCTCCAACGCTTGCCCCGCCGCCGACGCCAGCGCCCATGTGTGGAGCAAAGGGTCCCGACGACACCCTTTGGGACACGCGCAGCGAGCGCATCGTGGCGGGCCAGGACGCCACGCCGTGCGAGTGGAAGTGGCAGGTCTCCCTGCAGACGTTCTCGGGCTTTCCCTTCTGCGGCGGCACGCTCATCGCCGAGAAATGGGTCATGACAGCCGCCCATTGCATGGGTAGCGCTTTCAAGGTGGTGGCGGGCCTCCACAGCCAATCCACAACAGACTCGACCCAGGTGGATCTGCAGGTGCACCAAGTGCATTCGCATCCATTGTATAGCTCCTCGACGTATTCTCACGATTTCGCATTGGTGGAGTTGGTGGAGGCAGCACCCTTGAACGACTGTATCGGCCCAGCCTGCTTGCCAAGCGAGGACATCGCTGACGGTGAGGAATGCATTATCACTGGCTGGGGGACCCTCTCCTCTGGAGGGTCCTCCCCTGACCTGCTGCAGGAAGCGCATGTGAAGATCGTGAGCAACTCGGACTGCGGCGCTGCGTACGGCAGTGGGATGATCACCGACGACATGTTGTGCGCGCAGGGCGTCAACAGCGCTGGGCAAGTCACCGACGCCTGCCAAGGGGACAGCGGAGGGCCGCTGGTGTGCGCTTCTGGCGGTGCTGCTTACGTCCTTCACGGGGCCACGTCGTGGGGCTATGGGTGTGCCATGCAGCAGTACCCGGGAGTTTGGTCTCGGGTTAGCTGCGTACGTGACTGGATCGACGAAGTGATGGGGATGACGCAGCCCCCGACGCCAGCGCCTCCATCAACTTCGGCTCCCCATGCGACGCCCGCCCCGCCGCCGACGCCAGCTTCTCAGCACATGTGGGCGGCCATCTCGGGACCGTGCACGCTGGATGGCTCTTGCGTGCAGAGCCCCAGCTACCCGCAGGACTACAACAACGAGGAGGCGTGCATCCTGGAAGTCGACTTGGGTATGGCAGCGCCGATCGTGGTGGAGAGCTTCGACACGGAATCATACTTCGACACGCTCACGGTCAACGGGCTGGCTTATTCTGGTTCTGTCGGCCCCAGCGGGATAACCCCGTCGGCGGACATCTTCTGGTCCTCCGACTTCAGTCTCGTCAGCAGTGGTTGGAGGCTGTGCCAGGGTGTGGCGCCCACGCCAGCGCCACCAACTCCGGCACCCGCTCCGACTCCAGCGCCACCTCCAACGCCCGCGCCGCCGCCGACGCCAGCACCGATGTGTGGAGCAAAGGGTCCTGATGAAAGTTCAAGGAAAGTTCGCGGCGAGCGCATCGTGGGAGGCCAGGACTCCACGCCTTGCGAGTGGAAGTGGCAGGTATCCCTCTCGTCGCCCGGGTTTGGGCATTTCTGCGGCGGCACGCTCATCGCCGAAACGTGGGTCCTAACAGCCGCCCACTGCGTTGGCTTTGGCTATTATCTTTATTATTATGATGATGACTCTTTCTCTGTCGTAGCGGGCCTCCACAGCCAGTCCATAACGGACTCGACCCAGGTGGAATTGCAGGTAGCACGAGTGCATTTGCATCCACTGTACAGCTCCTCGACGTATTCGTACGATTTTGCCTTGGTGGAGTTGGCCGACGCCGCGCCCTTGGATGACTGCATCGGCGTCGCGTGCTTGCCCAGCGAGGACGTCGCTGGTGGCGAGGAGTGCATCATCACTGGCTGGGGAACCCTGTCCCCTGGAGGCTCCTCGCCAGACCTGCTGCAGGAGGCGGAGGTCACCATCGTCAGCAACTCGGACTGCGACGCCGCCTACGGCGGCAGAATCACAGACGATATGGTGTGCGCGCAGGGCGTCAACAGCGCTGGGCAGGTCACCGACGCCTGCCAGGGGGACAGCGGCGGTCCGCTGGTGTGTGCCTCCGAGGGCGGTGCTTACACTCTGCACGGCGCCACTTCGTGGGGCTACGGGTGCGCCTCCGCGGCGTACCCGGGAGTCTGGTCTCGCGTGAACTTCGTGCGAAATTGGCTCGACGACGTGATGGGGTTGACCCCTTCACCGACCCCGCCACCAACGCCCACCCCTCCACCGACGCTGGCGCCACCTCCAACGCCGGCCCCCTCGCCGACGCCAGCCCCGGCGTACATGTGGGCGAATATCGCTGGCGAGTGCACTGTGGACGGCTCTTGCGTGCAAAGTCCCAACTACCCTCGGCGTTACGACCCGAGTCAGAGCTGCACCTTGGAGATTAACTTGGCGTTAGCGTTGCCAATCGTGGTGCAGACCTTCGATACGGAGTCGTATTTCGACACGCTCACGGTCAACGGAATTGCGTATTCTGGAACAAGTGGTCCCAGCGGCATCACCCCGACGGCAAGCATGTTCTGGGAGTCGGATTCCAGCATTCAGAGAAGTGGCTGGAGGCTGTGCGTGCCATTGTTGTCCACATCGACAGAGGTGCACACCAGCTCGACAACGCTAAGCTCAACTACAGCGACCAGCTCCAGTTTGATTAGCACCTCCAGGAGTTCCACTACCACCCTTACCAGCACCAGTTGGAGCAGCACCTCCGAAAGTTCCACAGACACTGGGAGTGAAACACGCGGGCCTTCTAGCGCGACCAGTTCCTCGACAGTTGGGAGTTCAGTCACTGAGAGATCAACTACAGTAAGTACAGCCAGTGAGAACTATAGCATGACTGTGTCTGCAACAACCTTGAGTTCAACCACCTCGAGTCCGACCGCTGCGAGTACAAGCAGCGAGAGCTCCAGCACGACCCTGTCCTCGACCATTGCCAGTTCAGCCACCGTGAGTAGTACGAGCGGGAGCTCCAGCACAACTGGGACCTCGCTCACTGCGAGTCTGACTTCTCTGAGCGCAACCAGCGACAGTTCGAGCAAGACAGTGTCTTCAACCAGTTGGAGTACAAGCAGCGAGAGCTCCACCATGACGGTGTCTTCAACGAGTGTGAGCTCCACCACTGCGAGTACAATCAGTGATAGTTCCCGCACAACGATGTCTTCGACGAGTAGGAGTTCCACCACTGCGAGCACAGGCAGCGAGGGTTCTAGCACGACCCTGTCCTGGGCCACTGCAAGTTCAACCTCTCGGAGCAGAATCAGCGACAGTTCGAGTACGACGTTGTCGTCAACCAGTTGGAGTTCCACAACTGCGAGTACAAGGAGCGAGAGTTCCAGAACCACCGTATCTTCAACGAGTGGAAGTTCGACCACTGAGAGCACAACCAGCGAGAGTACCAGCACGACTACATCTTCAACCACAAGGAGTTCCACCACTGGGAGCACAGACAGCGATATTTCGAGCACGACGGCGTCTTCAGCCACGTCGAGTTCGACCACTGCAACCACAGCAAGCACGAGCTCCAGCACGACCCTGTCCTCGGCCACTGCGAGTTCTACCACTAGGAGTACAATCAGCGAGAGTTCCAGCAAGACTGCATCTTCAACCACAAGGAGTTCCACCACTTGGAGCACAGACAGCGATAGTTCGAGCACGACGGTGTCTTCAGCCACGTCGACTACGACCATTGCAAGCACAGCAAGCAAGAGCTCCAGCACGACCCTGTCCTCGGCCACTGCGAGTTCTACCTCTCTGAGCCGAACCAGCGACAGTTCGAGCACGACGTTGTCGTCAACCAGTTGGAGTTCCACAACTGCGAGTACAAGGAGCGAGAGTTCCAGAACCACCGTATCTTCAACGAGTGGAAGTTCGACCACTGAGAGCACAACCAGCGAGAGTACCAGCACGACTACATCTTCAACCACAAGGAGTTCCACCACTGGGAGCACAGACAGCGATATTTCGAGCACGACGGCGTCTTCAGCCACGTCGAGTTCGACCACTGCAACCACAGCAAGCACGAGCTCCAGCACGACCCTGTCCTCGGCCACTGCGAGTTCTACCACTAGAAGTACAAGGAGCGAGAGTTCCAGCAAGACTGCATCTTCAACCACAAGGAGTTCCACCACTTGGAGCACAGACAGCGATAGTTCGAGCACGACGGTGTCTTCAGCCACGTCGACTTCGACCACTGCAAGCACAGCAAGCAAGAGCTCCAGCACGACCCTGTCCTCGGCCACTGCGAGTTCTACCTCTCTGAGCCGAACCAGCGACAGTTCGAGCACGACGTTGTCGTCAACCAGTTGGAGTTCCACAACTGCGAGTACAAGGAGCGAGAGTTCCAGAACCACCGTATCTTCAACGAGTGGAAGTTCGACCACTGAGAGCACAACCAGCGAGAGTACCAGCACGACTACATCTTCAACCACAAGGAGTTCCACCACTGGGAGCACAGACAGCGATATTTCGAGCACGACGGCGTCTTCAGCCACGTCGAGTTCGACCACTGCAACCACAGCAAGCACGAGCTCCAGCACGACCCTGTCCTCGGCCACTGCGAGTTCTACCACTAGAAGTACCATCAGCGAGAGTTCCAGCAAGACCAGGTCTTCGACCAGTGCGAGTTTAACCACTGCGAGTGCAACCAGTGAAAGCTCCAGCTCGACGGTGTCTACAATCAGCGGGAGTTCAACCACAGCGAGCGCAACGAGCGAGACTTCAAGCACGACTTGGTCGTCGACTTCTGGAAGTTTGACCACTGTGAGCACAGTCAGCGGGAGTTCTAGCACGACCAGGTCATCGCTCACTGCCACGTCAACTACTGTGAGTACAACGAGCGACAGTTTCAGCACCACCCAGTCCTCGATCAGTGGAAGCTCAGTTACATGGAGTTCAGCCACAGTGACCACAACCAGCTATAGCTCCAGCATGAGTGGGTCTTCGAGCACTGCGACTTCAACCACTGTGAGTTCAACCACTACGAGTACGACCAGCGGGAGTTCCAGCACGACGATGTCTGCAAGCACTGTGACTTCAACCTCCGTGAGTACAATCAGCGAGAGCTCTACCACGACGTGGTCTTCGACCACTGTGAGCAACACCACCGTCAGCTCCACTGCCACCCTCACCAGCATTAGTGCAACTAGGACCACGGAAAGCCCCACAACCACGACCAGTGCGAGCACAACCAGCGAGAGTTTCAGCGTAACTAGGTCTTCGCTCACTGCGACTTCAACCACTGTGAGCGCAACCAGCGAGAGTTCGGCCACGACGATGTCTGCAACCACTGTGAGTACCAGCAGCCAGAGCTCCAGCACGACGCCACATTCAACCACCGTGAGTTCATACACGCCGCATACAATCACGACACATTCAGTCACAGTCATGAGTTCCACCACTGCGAGCTCAACCAGCGGGAGTACAGTCAGCGAGAGTTCTAGCGCGACCGCGTCCTCGACCAGTGGAAGTTCATTCACTTATAGCACGACTACTGACAGCACGAGCAGCGATAGCTCTACCACGACGCTGACAGAGACCACCACGTCGACGACATCGACCATGACGAGCACAACCACCCCGCTCTTCGTTGTGAGCAGCTCGCTGTCGTTTCAGAGCACGGGGAGTCAGTCGGAGGTCGAGTCCGCGGTGATCGAGCACTTCATGGACATGCTCGGCTGCGACAGCGATGACCTCACCGTGACTGTCTCCTCCCAGACCGCAAGGTCTAAGCAGGTTCCTGCCGGCCGCTCGGTGTCCCAGTGGGACGTCTACTTCGAGGTCGTGGCGGACGAGAAGGCGGCGCGGGGGCACGCGGAGGCCGCCATGGCCATGGGCGCAAACGCCACGGGCGCCAACGCCACGGCGGGCAGTGCGATGCGCAGCCTGTCGGAGAAGTTTGCGGAGAAGGGGGTCTGGCTCGACGAGAGCTCAGTGGTTGTGGAAGAGCCAGTGATCAAGGTGGTTACGGTTACGAAGACGACCGTGAGCGTCACGGAGACGACCATCACTTTCACAGGCACAAGCAGCACTACAGCGACAGCCACAGGCACAAGCAGCACTGCCACAGCCACAAGCACATCGCTGACGGCGTCGACGATGTCGAGCACCGTCACGAGAACGAGCACTGTGGCCAGTCGAACGGTTACATCGTTGACGGAGTCGATGGCCACTGGAACGGGCACATCGCTGACAGAGTCGATGGCCACCAGTACAGGCACAACGCTGACAATGTCGACGAGGATAAGCACCGGTACAGGCACAACGCTGACAATGTCGACGAGGACAAGCACCATGGCCCACAACACTGCAGCAGTGAGCGCATCCTCCACTGCCACCCCTGCGACCACCTTGAGCTCTACGGCAGCTGCGGCTGCCCCCAGCTCGGAGACCACCACGGTGACGACCACCGCCGCGCCGTTCGTGGTTCAGCAACAGTTGGTCTTCTCCAGCAGTGGGACCCAGGACGAGGTGCAGGCAGTTGTGACTGAGGTGCTGCACGAGAGCCTGGGTGTGACGAGCGAGCAGCTGACCGTGGTGGTGTCGGAGGCAGTGGAGTCGCAGGCGTCTGGCCGAAAGTTGAGCAATACAGAGTGGCAGGTGGACTACCAGGTGGCGGTGGACACCAGCACGGCGGCGGACGAGATCGCGCGGGTGGCAGAGGCCTGGGCCGTGTCCGCGGCGGTCCTCGCACAGGACCTGGCCGACGCGCTCTCGAGCCGCGGTCTGCAGCTCGAGGCGGGCTCGGTGGCGGCGGCGCGGCCGCAGGTGACAGCGGGCCCGCGGGCCCCCCGGAGCAGAGACGCGGAGCTGAAGCACGCGGAGGCGGGCGTCGCCCCAGTCGTGGTCATCGTTCCTATCGGGGTCGCGCTTCTCCTCTGCGCGTTCGGCTGCCTGGGGCGGGTCTACGCGGGGAGGCCGAGATCGGGCCGCGTCGCTGAGATCACGAGCGACAAGGTCGTCCGCAGATCCTCCGGCAACCAGCTGGAGGACGGGGTGCTCCGCGGAGACGTGGCTCCGAGACCGGGCCGCGTCGCTGAGATCACGAGCGACAAGGTCGTCCGCAGATCCTCCGGCAACCAGCTGGAGGACGGGGTGCTCCGCGGAGACGTGGCTCCGAGACCGGGCCGCGTCGCTGAGATCACGAGCGACAAGGTCCTCCGCATATCCTCCGGCAACCAGCTGGAGCACGGGGTGCTCCGCAGAGACGTGGCTGGCGAGACCCCCAGCGACAGGGCCGTGCGTGATCCGGTGCTTGCGCTGTCCCGGCGGCTGCCTGCGAGCCAGCAGCCCATCGCCACGCAGCCGAGAGACGCCGCCTGGAGGCAGTGCGCCCCTCCCGCGCTGGGCGCGTCGGACCCGGACGCCCTGATCCTCACCGACGCGAGCGATCCCGAGAACGGCTCCCTGGAGGACTGCCTGTCGCCCCAGCCCTTCGTGCCCATGGCCGAAGGGCAGGGCCCGGGAGCGCGAGGGGCCGCGCTCCCGCTGCCCCGCAGCCCGCCCCCGAGGGGCACCCCGCTCGCGAGGCGGCGCCCTCCGCCGGCCTCCCCGTGGAGTCCTTCTGGGCCGCGGCACGGGTGGTGAGCACCCTCCGAAGGGGCGGCGCCCCCGCCCGCGCCCGCGGGGGAGGAGGAGGAGGAGGAAGAAGAGCCGGAGGAGGAGGAGGAGGAGCAGGAGGTGGAGGAGGGGGGGAGGAGGAGGAGGAGCAGGATGAGGACCAGGCTGAGGATGCGGATGAGGAGGAGGAGGAGGAAGAAGAGGAGGAGGAGGAGGAGGAGGAGGGCAGCCCACGCGAGCGCGCTGCAGCTCCCCCCGCGGTTTCGGGCACCGGCGGCCCTCCGGCCGCCTTGCGTGAGAGAGGGCTTGGTCCTGCCAGGAGAGGGGGGGGTTGGGTGAAAAAACCCGGCAATCAAAGAATCAAAGCCCGGACTTTCAAAAGTCCGGGTTTTGGGGACGAGTTGCAATGAAAAATTCGGACCTTGAAAAGTCCGGGTTCTTAGTAGGGACAGGAGAGGATTGAAGAGGAGAGAGGAGAGGAGAGAGGAGAGGAGAGAGGAGAGGAGAGATGAGAGAGGAGAGGAGAGAGGAGAGGGAGAGGAGAGAGGTTTTGAGGGGAGTGCAGAAGGGTGGGGGGTTGTGGACCTTTGGATTCCAGGGTCCACCCCCGCAAAGAGCCCCAGAATACCGCGCTCAAGAAAAATGGCGCAGACATACACATCTAAGATGAGCTTCCCAAAAAAATCATGCGACCCAACAGCGCAATGGAAGGGAACGTGGTTCTGAAGACGACGAGGGCCACGAGCGGCGGAAGGGTGAATGGGGGGGGAGGGCACAGGCTTCCCACAACAAAGTGTGGCTGCTGTTCTGTGTCGGGATTCCAGTACTTTCCATGGGGCTTACTACGCAGATGGGGATGACGACGACAGTTGCTCAGACCACGAGGGCCACGAGTGGGGGGGTGGGGGAAGGGGGGAGGCACGGCACAGACTTCCCACAACGAAGTGTGGCTGTTTTTTTTGTTGTGGTGCAGGTCCGTTCCACAGGGATGACGACGTCGAGGAGGGGCAACGGCAGCATGCGCCAAGACGGCGAAGTGCACGAGTGGGGGTAGTGGCGAAGTGTGTAAGGAAAGGCGGAGACTTCCCACAACAGTGTGGCTGTTTTTTGAGTTTGGGTTCAGGTCCGTTCCGCGGGGATGACGACGTCGATGGGGATGGCGGCAGCAGCCGTTGAGCCGACGAGGGCCACAGGTGGGGGGAGGGGGGAGGAGAGGCGAAAAAACCCAATGTTAACAAATTGCCCCCCATATCAACACATCGCCCCCACTCCCTCCCATGTTAACAAATCGTCCCCGCCCCATCGCGGCGGGTCGCAGCGGAAACCTCCATGTTAACAAATGCCTGGGTTGCGGGTCACTTTGCTCCCGAACCCCATCGCCGAGGATGTATGCGTTTTT